CATCGGGTAGCTTCATTTTAAAGTTAATATCCAACCTGAAATCTAGCATGATCTGATGGGCTTTAGTGAGAAGACCCCAGTAATCAGACACTGCTGAGTTCCTGTGACCCTTAGGCTGCATTTAACTTTTTTGAGTAGAACACAAGACATTTCAGAGCTTAGTAAATGAGGTGAAGCTTCACTTTACAAAGAATACCCAATCACATGCAAGAAAAATGAAAAACAAAAACAGCATTTTTGCTTGCACACGATTGGATGATGGGAGTCAGCAGAGCTCCCCCTTATTTACTGCACTCTGGAGCAAATGCCCTTGCAGAGTGCAGCTGCACCTGCAAAGTGCACAGTCTATTTGCCTTTAGTAAATCAACCCCACAGTGTTTAGGTTTCATGAAATATTTCTTCTTTAGAGCAGACAATTTTGGCTGAATTGGGTAACAATGATGGTTTGTATAACTGTAAACACTATACCTAACTGTTCTCCAGGAAATACTTAAAGTAGACCTTCACCCCAAAAGCCACATGGTTGTTCCTCACTCCAGCCCCCTCCTTTTACCACAAATGGTTATTTTTATTTTGTTTAGTGCTTTGTTTTTCTGCTTTCTCGCCTAGGAGAGAATGATGTTGCACATGCGTACACAGATGTGCTGAAGGCCTCTTCCAGGCCTCAAGACCGAGCTGAGACCTTCAGCACATCTGCACATGTGGGTTTCCATGAAGGTGGTCCAGAACCTCTTTTCCAGTGCCTGCGTGAGCACAGCTCAGCCTATAAGCAGAAGCGCCACAGGGCTCTGCCAGGTCCCAAAGGTTGGGCAGAGACCTTGGTCTCATCTGTGCACACACTGGTCAATCAAACATGGTGGCACCAGTGGAGGGATGGAGCCACGATCAAGGGGACTGAAGTTCCTCTTTAAAGAGAACTCCAGGTACAATCTTAATTGCATTCTTACATTAGCCCATCTTGGACCGATGTAAGTATGCATATCTCAGACCTGAAGGAATGATGTGGAAACTGACAAGCATTGTAGTCTTCAGCATTATTACAGTGATTGCTGTGATCTTCTGGGTCCTGTGCTCAGCACTACCTCACTGCACCCTGGCCATAGTTGCTTTTTAGTTTTTTCAGTGACTACAAGGTGTTCTCTCAGCCTAGAGTTCAGCTTTACTTATCAAGCAAAATTTATTGGAATTCAGCTGAAGTTTACTTTAAAGCAGTAGTAGGCAACCTTAAAGATCTACCTGAACAACATGGAAGAAGTCAAAGATCACCAGGAACAGTGTCGGCTAGTGTCACCTCCTCAGATCTGACTAGTTGCCATACTATTGTGTCACAATCACATGCATTGCATGGCAATTATGGGCAAATCAGGTAATGAGGAGACACCCACATATTGTCTGCTCACCACCTGTCAAACACACTCAGAACACTTTGCAGGGAGCAGCAGTGCCAGTGAGTGAATGCCAGTGAATGAGACGTTAGTTGCATCGGGCAGTGGCACTCTTAGGGTTCATTCACATGTAAAGTTGGGGGGTAAAACCCTGCGGTTGAGTCACAGTTTTAACACCCCCAGTCCCTACCCCCTTTAGCTGCTGAGGCAGCAGCCAAAGGTGTACACATGCCACAGCAGAAATTTTTCCTCTTGTTACATTTGGTGGGTGCTACCATCTGTCAATCAAGACCCACTAGGGTAAAGGGGGCCACTCTGCAGGTGCCCTGCAATTGCATGCTTCTGCGGAGTCCAAAGGGTTAAAGTAGGTGGTGAGAAAGCAACACACCACTGCCTGTTTAACCCCTTCTTCAGGACACTTGCAGAGCAGCCTTATTCACTTGAATGGGTTGTGCTTGGCAGGTGCTACACCCACCAACTATGACAGGGCGTAGGAGCCAGCACTACAGGGGAGGCATCAACATATGCGGCTCTTGCTCCCTACTACAGCTCCAAATTTACAAGTAGTCTCTCTGCATTGCACTCTGTTTTATGCTGTTGGATGGCGGGTCAGCAAGCCCAGACCGAGATCTACCAGTTACCTGTCTTAGATCTATTGGTAGATCATGGTCTACTGATTGATGACCCACGCTTTAAAGCAAACCTATGTTTTACCCTAGCAAGGCCAAGCAATGGGTTTTTGCCCTCTGTCCCAGCAGAATATACTCACCTTTCATGCACTTCTCCTGTACTTCAGTAACAGCTGTGAACAAACAGAATGCCTGGTACTTTCGGGTATGAAAGAGCATTCACCCTCCTTCTCCCCACATGACAGCACTGGTCTGTGGTTGTTAACCAAGCACTCTCACATGAATGGGGAAAGAGTTCCCAGTCCTGAATACACAAATGCTTTGCCTTTCATTTCTATTTTAAACTGAATGGGTTGTTTTATGAGGTGAGGATTTACAATCACTTTAACAAGCAGTCTTCTCCTAACAAAAAAAGTATTAAGCATGAACTCACAAATGTGCATAAAACACACAAAAACACATTGAAACAACACGATAATGCGGCAGTACTAGTATGAACCTAGGCTAATGAGGACACATACTATATAAGTGTTACAGAAGGCGAGTAATGATGGGTAACGGTAAGCAGTACCTCCTTTACTGCAATCACAGCATCTTTTGAAAAACTTTAGGGGCTTGGGGCCCCTTACAGTAAAAAACTCAATGGACTTGTGTGGTTAGGTGAAAGGTGTGTGGCGGATGAGATCGTTTTCTGTGGTGGTGTTATAATGTGGTTCTGGTAACATTCTTTAAGGGGAGGAGAGCAGATCTCTGAGCGTGTAAGAGGCTCTTGCTTGCAAGGGGGTCTTTACAAGGTAAGGTCTCACAATATTAAAAGTCCTAGGGACCTCTAGGGGGAAAAGTTGTGACACAGGTCTCTAGGGGTGTGTAAGGGGTGGGGACCCAGATGGGGGTGAACAGCTGGACATAAAAGAGCTGTGTGTCTGTGTTTAAGTAAAACCAGGTGTGGGGGGAATTTTACTGGAAAGTAGGGAGGGATTGGCAGAAAGTCAGGAATTTGGAGAAAGGGAGACAGAGAGAAATAGAAGTAGGAGAGTAGAGACACTGAAAGACAGAGTGGGACGTGGTTCCAGGATCAGAGAGGACAGAGAGTACATGAGATTGAAAAAGTGGGACTCGGAGAAAGAGACAGTCCCTGGTAAATGGTACGAGAAGGAGGGGAAAGCCATACAAGAAGGAAGTGAACAAGGGAGACATTTCAAACTGGAGAGAACATAGAAGAAGGAGGAGAGTGGGATTATTCTGGAAAGAGGGAGAAAATATAGGAGGAATTGGAACGACGTGCAGGACAACTGCGAACAGAAGCGCTGACAGACAAACAAAAACTGTGAGTAATCTGAAATATCACATCTGGCTATCTATCACGTAATAACACGGTTGTCTGGAACCCACTTATTGAATGAGTGTACAATTAGTTTTCATATTACGGTGGCTATTATGGCAGCTTTAACACAAATGTGATGTGTAGTGAAGCGTCTCTGTGATTTCTAGCATAGGGTAAAAAATGTATCGTCATGTACGCATCAAACCAGTGAGGGATCCTAAAGTGCAAGGTCAGCAAAGTAGTAAAGTATAACTTTATTTTATTTTTATGAAAAAGAAGCACAGGATGCAATTTATTATAGGAATGGAATCTATTTTAGAGAAGTCATTGATATTTCCTCTGTCTTGTGTATAGACAATACCTTATAATCATCTTCACATTGATTCAATTGTCAGTGTGAAAAGTGTAGTAGAGATGTGCAGAGTGCAGTAATCTATAAGCAGAGGAGATTCTATATAACAGTTCCTGCGGGAATTAAAAGCACAAATAGATATTGGATAACACTTTTCTGATAAGGCTGTTTAAGTGCTTAGATTGTGCCATAAACAATGGTTAGATAGATAGGTAATGAGCTATGATCTATAATGATAGATAATGATCTATAGGGGAAATGAAAGGCAGACTAAAACAGATCATACTTTCACAATTACAATTTTGTTTGTTTGAAAAAATAATTTCCATCCTGCTACTTCAAATTTTCTCATCAACAAATGTTCCAAAAACAAAAAACTGTTTTAACAAAATTCTCCTGGTGAATGGCCAGCTTCAGAAACAAAAAAAAAAGAGGCTGGTCTGAGAATTGTACTAGTGGTAGATGTAATTTTAGATGGGGGGTTAAATAAGAAACAAATGTACAAGATTAGAGACTGTGTAGCTGTTCAACAGTCACAAGTGTGTGTTTGTATGCAGGGGAAGACTGGGGAACCTTTAGCCTGGAAGGTAAACGCAACCTACTAGCCCTTTCATGGTAGGAAAATATTTCTGTGGTCTAAAGAACATGTGCCATGGCACCTCATTGATTAGTAGGCATGGTGAAAGGTTGGTTTTTCTAAAAGACATGATTTAATGTAACACACTTTTTCACATCTTCTAGGATCAGCTTCCTTTGCAGCTCTCAGAATTTGGTCACTTGATATCCCAGAACCGCAAAAGGAAGTCGGTGCTTGCCTCTGCCAGATGCTGTGTTCTAATGTCTGAACAGGGTCTGGTAGCAATATAGTAATACTAAATGTGTCCCTAACTGCAGGTACTGCTTTCATTGATGTTTAATAGTGAAGTATCTCAGCTAAGGGCCACCAGTCTCACATGTCTTTTTATTGGCCTCTGCCTCCATCTCCTCTCTGTATAGTAGATACATCCAGCATCAGACTTAATTTGGTGTAACAATAACTAATATGTGGGAAAATTCAACCAGACTTTCCTTCTGATATATAAGCTTAAGGGTTCTACAGATTCGGGGGCTTAGCAAGGTCAGGTGATGATCATCTTATGTTTAAAACCACAGAAAGGGTCTTTTGGTCTAAGGTTTCTGAAAAGAGACGCTAAACTGTTTGTTATCATTTCACAGCTTCAAAAATATCTTTAAGACAATCCAGATATGAAATGAACTGTGTGGTGCTTCAAACCATTCAATGAACACTTTTGTTTTAACATTTTCCATAGATGCGGTTATCCTGCTACCTGGTATTTTGTGTCCTTCTGGTCCCCAGTTTACAACAAGAGAATGAGGAGCCCAACACTTTCACGGTAATCTCTACTTTCCTTACCTACAGTACATAGTCACTAGATGTATTCTTTTTCAGCCTCCTCACACTGTACCTTGTCAGATTGTGTGATACAACCTCAATGACAAAGAGCTTCAAGTATAATTTATACTCAAGTACAGCAGTCATTTTTTAAATCTAAACTTGTAAATGCTAGTGACAAAGGCTTCATGATCAGCAAGGTTTTACTAAGAATTGAAAAAGTTTCTTTAAGTTTTCTGAGCAACGTTTACCTCCAGTTTGGAAACGTAGGGCCACCCTACCCAACAGTAATATTTAGTTATAGTTTGAGCATGGTGCTGGAGCTGCTGTATTTCCTGACCCTTCTTCTATCTACATAAGAGTTGTTCCTGCTCTTCCAAAAAAATCCATCAGAAATAATGAGACCCCCTTAAATTAGCCAAAGCAGGAACTCAAGTGCAGTGATCTCACCAGGTGAGTCTGCGAACATCTATCAGAAACTGAAACATTAGGTTTGGGTGGGCTGGTTGTTAATGGGAATGCTGGTTGTAGCTTTATCAAGCTCCCACAGATAGAGTTTTAAGAGGCCATTGGACTGACCTTTGTAGAAACTAAATGTCTATTAATGCTGCTATCATACATGTGAGCCTGTCAACACATGGTACAGTGTGTGGTGTATGTGCTATGGGGCATGTGATTATCCATTTAAAGTGCCGGTTTACATATATGCGGATTGGATGCTGTTTGAACTGCATCCAATCGGCATGACATGTGAAATAACATTGCTTCCTATGGAGCCTGTTCACATATGTCCAGTGCAATGGCAGTGCGGATTCAATGTGGATTGAAAAAGAGTCCTGTACGATTTCTGTGCAGTGTGGTCCAGTTCAGGTGCGGATTACAGGCTATTGACCTCTAAGGCAATGGTTTCTAAACTGCACATGTGTGAACACGATAAAATCCTGACCTAAACCTGATGTAAACCTGACCTGAAACACAAAACAACTATTGTGTCAATTAGCTATGAAACCTGAGCTTCAATCCGCACCGCACATGTGTGAATCAGCTCTAAATCACACCCCAATATATACAGTATACTTGATCAAAACCTGAACCTTGGCACACTGCAGTGCATTCAATAAAAAATCCATGTTACCTTACAGTGTGTTCTCAAAGGGTCAGTCAGGTGCATTTTTGGTCCATAGACATGGGTGTTGAGGGCCCATAAAAATGAATAAATATTTGTCTCTTATACACACACCCACGAATGAGCTCTAAATGACCACTGAAGCTTGCTATATGTTTGTTCATGACACTCTTGAGGATAGGGTTTACAAGTTAGTAAAATTACAAAATGCTCATTTGTATTCAGCTCAAGGCTGCCTACGCATTTGAGTTGAGCATCTTTGGCTGTTTTTACTGTTTTTTTTTTCTGCTTTTTGGCAGGTGAGTTTGCTTGACAATTTTTAGTTAATTATTTTTTAACCAATTGAAAGCTAATTACTAGGGGGAAAAAGGTACAATATGCATGTTTGCTAATTTTTCGCATGCTTTTCAGTCATTCCTACTGAAGTCAATTGAAGTCAAATCCCCTTGAGGCAAAAAATGCTTGAAGGTTGTAGCTTAAAAGAGAAGCTTGTGTACTTTTTCCAGCTTCACCACACTCAGGTTTGAGCAGTCACAGCTGGAAATCAAGGGATTTTGGATGTTGAGTTTTTTTGGAGCTTCAAGCTTCAAATCATTCAGCTGTGAATGGAGCCTTGGAGATTTTTATATGTCAGATGTGTATTTACAAGTGACAGTTATGATAAAATCGTTTTCTTGTCAACTATTACACTTGAATGATGTTGTTATGATCAAAGGCACTGTAAAATCAGCTAATGACAACTTCAAACCCTCAAATGTTTTTCATCACATGGCTCCCCTGCTCGTACAACTTTCCTCATTACTATTATTATTATAGAGCCCTTTGCTTGCCTCTATCCAGCTCTCAGGGTACTTTTCCTCCCCCTGACACCAACAAAGAGGCAAAATTTCTTACACTGGCTCCAACAGTGGGTAACCATTCCTCTCACTGACACCAACAATGGGACATTTTTCCTTCCACTGACACCATTGATGGGACACAATTCCTCCCACTGATATAAACAATTAGGCACTATTCCTACAACTAATACCAATGATGGGGCACTATTCCTCCCTCTGATACCAATGATGGGGCACTATTCATCCCACTGTCACCAATAATGGGGCACTTTTCCTTCCTCTGATACCAATGATGGGGCACTATTCATCTCACTGTCACCAATGATGGGGTACTATTCATCCCACTAGCACCAATGATGGGGCACTATTCCTCCAACCAATACCAATTTAGGGGCACTATTCCTCCCACCGGTACTAATGATGAGGCACTATTCCTCCCACTGACACCAGTGATGGGGTACTAATCCTCCCACTGTCACCAATGATGGGGCATTATTGATCCCACTAATACTAATGATGGGTCACTATTCTGCCAACAAATACCAGTCATGGGGCACTATTCCTCCAACCAATACCAATTTAGGGGCACTATTCCTCTCACCGGTACTAATGATGAGGCACTATTCCTCCCACTGACACCAGTGATGGGGTACTAATCCTTCCACTGTCACCAATGATGGGGCATTATTGATCCCACTAATACTAATGATGGGGCACTATTCATCCAACCAATACCAATTTAGGGGCACTATTCCTCCCACTGGTACTAATGATGAGGCACTATTCCTCCCACTGACGCCAGTGATGGGGCACTAATCCTTCCACTGTCACCAATGATGGGGCATTATTGATCCCACTAATACTAATGATGGGGCACTATTCTGCCAACAAATACCAGTCATGGGGCACTATTCCTCCAACTAATACCAATGGCTAGACACTATTCCTCCTTCCACTGACTACAAACTTTATGTCATGTTTTTTACTCCCACTTTTGCTAGGACATTTTCCACTGGCTACTCTGGCCCCGCTAAAGTTTGAAGGACAATAAGCTGGCTCTTTGTTTAGAAAGTTTGGAGACCCTGTTATAGAGCACAGTTTACAACATAAGGACAGACAGTACAATTACAATACCGTAGGAATCAGAGGGCCCTGCTCGTTAGAGTTTACAATCTAAGATCCTGTTATGTAATGGAGCTGTACACTAACTGGGTACAGTGTTCCTTGTTTTATATTTTGATTATGCCTCTAGTTTATCAGCACATTGATTGGACAGACTATTTATTACACTTTTATTGTATTGTTATTGTCACTATGTGTTTGTGTTAAAAAATTAAAGCCTGATAAAACCCAAGCAATACTACAGCCATCCATATTCTTATGATTCATATCATTGCCACCCCCAAACTGAAGGTGAAGGGGTGATTTAAGAGCCTTAAGAAAACTATTTTAAGCTTTTTGCTTGCTCAGCCTGATGCTCTTCAGACAAATGTCACAGTTTAGGATTAAAGAAAAAAAAATATTGTTGGCCTTGTCTCTTGAAAACGCATACTTGTTCTGGGTGAGTGAAAGAGTATGATTTTTGCCTTTGCTCCCTGTATTGCTGCATACATATTTCAGCTAAATGACTCAAAAGGTACTGAAGTCAATAACAGGAAACTAGAATTTTCAGAAGGAGGTCACCCCTCCATATTTCTCACATGACTGGCCAACAGTAGAGATAAGATCAAGTATGTTCGGATATGAGTGCAAACCTGACTGAGCTTTTCCGCCGGGAAGCTGTCAAAGCCAGCAGTCAATCATAGGTGGTGGCGGTATTCCCTGCCTGCAGCTGCTTGTATGCAAGGGGCATGCATATGTCCAGCTGTGGGGTACAGAATGCCTCCACTGCCTATGATTGGCTGTCAGCTTTGACATCTCCCCAGTGGGATAGCTCAGGCGGGTTTGAACTGGCGTCTGAACACACCTGTGCTTGTCACTGGTCTGCAGTCTTTGCAGAAGAGAAAGTTTTAAAGTAAAATATCCGCCAGCTAGCAGCAATGGGGGAGCCATTGTTGATTTCCTTCTGAAAATGCTGGCTGCCATGCTCTTCCTCTGACATCATTACTTTGTGAGTCGCTAACCAAGTAGGAATATGTACTGTAGATCGATCTGATTTCACTGGCTTTATGCTTGTTCTGGGTCAGTCAGTAGCTCAGACAGGGGAGGACTGACAACTCATGGGGCCCCCGGGCAAATGTGGATCATGGGGTCCCTGTGTCCTTGACCATACCCAAAAGACACCCAAAAAAGTCTATAAAAAGGTACCAGGGGCATCTTATGGGGCCCCCTACTGACCCCGGGCCCTTGGGCAGTGCCCTAGTGCTTGAATGGTCAGTCCACCCCTGAGCTGAGATGTAATTGAAGTTAAATAGTTAGGCATCTAGAGTCAAATAGTGGTGGTTTACTATATGTGTTTTGTTCATGACTGGTTTTCTTTAAAGTGATACTAAACCCCAGACTCTGCATTCACTATATGTGGTCTCCTACAGTACACAAAACGTGGAAGTGCAATTATTTTATTAAATATAAACTGCTAAATACCTTTTCTCATCAGCAGTTAGAGCAGACTTGTCACTTCTATCAGTGTCCAGCAGAGCACTGGTTAAAACTTGTAAGAGGAGTTTTCTTTCTGCTCCAGGAGGATGCAAAAACCCTGACCTCTGTCTGGACAGTGCTGATTAGCCCTGTGCTGATCACATGCACTCTCCCAAGGAAGAAAAAAAACCTCTCTAGCAATACACACTAAACTGGGCATGGGCAGAATGGCTACAGTTCAGTCTGTCTTATCAGGAGATAAGACGTGGACATTTGAACAAGAGGAGGATCAGAGAAGTCAGGATCAAACGGCCTTTTTACACAATGCAGAGGATTAACCCCTTATGTTCCACAATGACTATAACGAGCATGCTTTACTGCATATACAGACTGATTTTACTGTTGGGGGTTTAGTAACACTTTAAATACTGTCAGGGCAGATTATTTTGTACAAGACATCTCACACAAGTAAGATATGGAGAGCGTGGTTCACACGTCTTCTATTTATAAAGATTTAACTGCCAAAAAAATATTTAGCTGGAAAAAAATCTTTTAGAGTGTTCCTGTTGCTAAATAAAGCAATGACTGCGCTCAGTTTGAAAGAGGGTTTACGGGAAGGTTTCCTCCATTAAAGAAACACTAATCTACTATTTTCCATTTCCTATTTGTGTTTGCTCCTTGTAAATATTAGGGAACCAGCATATATAAATTCTGCTGTTATATGACTATTCCAGTGTTTCCAGGGTGACTTGCACATGTCATCATCAGTCCCCACCGGAGTTTTTCTTCAACCCTGCTGTTAGGTTTTTTGGGGGGGTTTTTTTTAACACAAGTGATAAACTTTTTTGGCATACAGGAGGTTGGCATGTGGCCAGCTCTATATTGAAATACTTGTGTTTGTGGTCAGCTTTGCTGTGGACTACGGTAGGAAAAGCAAGAGCAACCACTACATTTTGTTTTCATACAAATATGTCAGTTTGCATTTGAATCTTCTTACTTTTCTTGCATAGACTGCAAGATTTTTTTTTTTACTTCTGTAAATTGTAGGTTCAGACATTCCCACCCTCTTTATCCTCTATAGCAGAGGTCTCCAAACTTTTCAGTATGAGGGCCACGTCATATATAATACAAATATTTGTGAGCTCAAAAAAAAAACGTTTCATAAATCAATGAAAAACAAATGAATAAATCATTTTTGCTTGAATCTTTATTGGAATTCACATGGTATGATTCAGAACAAAAGGAAAGAACTGCAGTACTAGAAAGTCCTTCTTACATCAGGGTCCCCATCAGAGCCTCCAGTTTACATCAAATTCTCCATCAGTGCTCCCCCAACATCAGTGTCCCCCATCAGAGCCCCCTTACATCATAGTCCACCCTATTAGTTCTCTGTTACATCAGAGTCCCCCCTTACATAAGGGTCCCAATCAGAGCCCCCCCCTTACATCAAGGATCCCCATCAGAGTCCTCCCTTACATCAGCATCCCCTTGAGAGCCCACCCTTACATCAGCATCCCCATCTGAGCCCCTTTTACATCATATTCCCTATCAGTGGTCCACTCTTACCTATCTTGTATCGTAGCTGTACTCAGCGTAGCAGCAGGAGCAAACATGACCCTGGCTGCTGGGCAGATGCAATCCTGTATCAGGCCAGATTTGGCCCATGGACCATACTTTGGATACCCCTGCTCTATAGTTTTGTAAAATTCATTGCTAATTGACACTGAGAATGTGAATATCTGAAAGTTAGAGGAATGTATGACTGGCACAGAAAGCAAGTGTACAAATTGTTTTTCTGCTCTTCCCAAAACCAAACCATTAAAGCCCAATTTCACTGTTTAAATTAGGTAAAACATGCCAGATGCATCAAAACAAAAGGTTTTCAAAGTGTCAAAGTCTGCTTTCTTTCTAAAGCAGCTTCAACCTGCATAGAAAAGTCTATATACTCTCAGCGTGCTGCAGAGTGGGATACCTTGCTCTCTATGGGGAAGCAGTGATCTTTCTGTAGAGGTCTAATACACCTCTTGCTGAGTAGGAGCTAGAGTTCTCCAATCAGCAGAGAAAATGAGCCTTGCTGATTGCATGAGCACTGATGAGCTATAGCTATTACTTAGAAGAGGCGTGTTGGACCTCTGCAGAGAGAACAGTTTCCCCACAGCTGGTCCAACCCTGCAGCTGCAATAGGAAGAAAATTAACTATAAGACACTGAACACCTTTTGTTTTGATGGACCTAAAATGTATTTAGCTGATTTAGTGTCACTAAACCCCCAACAGTAAAATCAGTCTGTATATGCAGTAAAGCATGCTTGTTATACTCACTGTGGAACCTAAGGGGTTAATCCTTTGAATTGTCTAAAAAGGCTGTTTGATCCTGTCTTCTCTGATCCTCCCTTTTTTCCACAGTCCCCAATCCATCTGCTGATAGAACAGAGCATTGGGGGCAAGCTGCACATGTATTGCTAGAGAGTTTTTTTTCTTGGGACAGTGCATGTGATTAGCACAGGGCCAATCAGCACTGTCCAGACAGAGGGTCAGGGGTCCTGCAGCCTCATGGGACAATCAGGAGAGAATAAAAACTCCTCCTACAAGCTTTAACCAGTGCTCTGCTGGACACTGATAAAAATCACAAGACTGCCCTAACTGCTGATGAGAAAAGATATTTAGCAGTTTATATTTACTAAAATAATTTAATTTCCATGTTCTCTGTGTAGCACCTTCCTAGTCAGCTAGGGGGAACTAGACTCCAATTGTTATTGAGAAGGGGGGAGTAGCAGCCTGGGTGTGATAGCTAGCAGGGGTCAAATTATGATCAGAGCTGAGGACTCTGCAGACCAGCCCTCTGGAATTTCCCCCTGCTCTAGAACGTTGGAGAAAGGTCTAGAAGCAGTGGATGAATCTGAGGAGTGGCTGATCTGCACTTTTGAGGGATCCTGGCCAATCACCAACAGGAGGCTTGGCAAGGGGCCAGGACAACCCTTAAAAGTGAGAGAGCCTGCTCAGCAGCAGAAGAGTTCGGGTGGAAGACAGAGAGGATGTGAGGCAGAAGGCAGGAGCCTGGGAGGGGGCCCAGATTGAGAGGAGCTCACCTACAGGTAGTGGAGCTTGGAAGAGGAAGTGTCAGACCCATAAGTAGCTGAATTTGAATTAATATCAGCCTTCTGCAGTTGTCTGTACAACAGAGCTCAGAGAGGCAGACATTGTCAAACAACCAATCAGGGGTTCTACAGTGCAAAGAGCATTTTGATAGGAGGAGAAAGCAGAGGGACAGAGAGATGAATTGATTTGTGTTTTGCTTCTCCTTTTACTGTCCAGTCACAGAGTGGGAGTGCGAAGGACATCTGTAAGTGAAAGTGACACTGTAGTAGAAAAAGATTAGTGTTGTACTCATCTGTGCATTCCACTGTCTGCCTGAAGTTCAGCTTTAGGAAAGATTATTTACGAACAAATGTAGCACCAATAACACTGGTATTTTAAATTATCAAGGAAAGTCATGTCTGAAATGATCTGAGTAATGTGCAAGAGGACCCAGGGTTATGCTCTGGGTTTTAGCAGCCAAGCAACTAGTATTACTTCGGATACTATGTTGACATATTTTATCCTAGCTGAAAAGCATATAAACTGTAGCAAGGTAACAGAGAGTCCTTGTTGTAACATGCAGAATAATTGATGGACAATCTCCAGCTCTTCAGATGGCATTTGTCTCATTGGGGATTTGGTTTGCTTCAGCATTAGAACTTGTAAGACCTGATTGAGCTTGATGGACTCTTTCCCTTTCTTGATACACTATGCCTGTGCTACTATGGAACTACAAAGAGCCCTTTTAGCTTGTAAATATGCATGCTTACAATAAAGCTTTTCATACCAACCAGGCTTATTTTAATTTCTGTCTTTGCGGACTTGGCTATTTCAAGGTTTGTGTATTGAATATTACTTGAATGATCAGCACCTCAGGCAGCTACACCGAGCAGCCAAAACTTTATGACCACTGTAAGGTCAAGTGAATGGCATTAATTATCTTGTTACAATGACAGCTAAAGATCGGTGGGATGTACAGTATTAGGCAGGAAGTAAACATGTTGTCCCTGAAGTTGATGTGTTGAAAGCAGAAAAAAAAGGTGGATCACAGTTTGTTGTATATGGGGCTGTGTAGTCGTAGACCATTCAGGGTGCCCATGCTGCCCTGTGTTCACAGCCAAAATCACCAGCAATGGGCATGTGCTCATCAGAAATGGACCGTTTGTCTTTAATATTGGTGCTGGTGGCACCTATTTTTGCAGATAAAATAAATTTAGCAGTTCTATGTTTTGTTGTTTTAATATTTTCTACTTTTTAAAAAAAAATTTTTTTGGGGGGGGGGGGGGCGGGCGAAAGTAGCTGTTCTTGCCTAGGGAACAAAATAGTCTAGCATCGGCTCTGGTTGCAGGGTAGGGTTTCCATGGATCACTCTTGTTTTTCCAGCACATCCCCCAGATGCCTGATTGAATTGAGATCTGAGGAATTTTGAGGCCAAGTCAACACTTCAAACTTGTTTCCACGAAGGGGTGTACTTGGTCAGCAACAATGTTTAGGTAGGTGGTACTGTACACATCAAGTTAAAAAAACACATGAATGGCAGGACCCAAAGTTTCGCAGCAGAACATTGCCTCCATTGGTTTGCCTTCTTCCCATAGTGCATTCTGGTGCCAGGTAAGCAACCCACTTATTCCCTGCCATCAACATGATGTAAAAGAAAACATGATTCATCAGTCCAGGCCACCTGGTTGACTTCACCATGCATGGGACAGAAAGGACACTGGATTAGAACTGATCCCATTCAACTTGTATCAGTACACAATAGCATAGGTATGATTGCAATTATTGCAACATCTATACCAAACTGTAGAAAATGTATTACTCTCTGTACAAAATAGTTAACAGCATCATGTACAACTATATCTAAGGTATTTAGTAGGACAACAAGCAATCTGCACAGTGGCATAACCTATGTATGCGTGCATGCAGAAATCAGCTAACATTTTGCCAATTGTTCTAAGCTAAAGGTAAAAGATAAAATCTGGTTGGTTGCTATTGTCTACAGTACATTACATTTTGTCTTGCTGCTCTTTTTTTCTGCATGTGCTCCATATCAACATGTTGATGAACAAATCTTACCTAATTTTCTTCCGTGTATTTTTTAGGAATGCACAGATGGCTATGAGTGGGATTCAGAGAGACAGCATTGTAAAGGTAAATGATCCTCCTATTTTGCCTGAGCTTGCAGGAGATGTTGATAACTCTACATTATAGGTACCTAAAAACTTCCAATTAGTGGTCATGGTTTGAGAAGTCAGGATAAATTACCTCAGAGTCAGATAAACTGGTGGTCAAGGAAGATTTTGGGACTGCACAGTTGCAAGATCAACTGCGTGCATGGAAAAAATGTCAAGGTGATGCACAGGAAACTCTAAGAGCCAAAAGTTAGTCTGGTATCCCATCACTTACTGTACTGTATAAATAAAGAATGTTAACAAGTTGTGCATCAGCTGGTGGTTCCCCAGTCTAATATGAAGATTGTATTGGACATGGCCCATTGCTGTGTGTTGGGTGGTCATTTAGGGGTAGAAAAAAAGCTAACGAGGTGGACTGAACAGTGTTTTTTCATCAGACCAAGTCACCTACTTCCACTGCTCCGTGGTCCAGTTCTGATGCTCATTTGTGCATTGTAGGTTCTTTTGGCTGTGGAACGGTTCAGCATTGGCAATCTCTACTGGTCTGCCCACCCCAGAGCCCCATTAAAAAGTTCTGAATGCCCAGGAGCGGGACAGATCGGTGATCATGTGACAAAAGTGTTATTGACTGTCTCGGTGGTTACATGATCAGAAGCCTGTCGTGCCATGTATCGCTCCTTACACCCCGGTCGCACTGGGAGCAACTTGGCATGCCATTTGCATGCCATGAAACTTGAAAATCGTATGCCAAGTTGTACCCTATTGTCTGCAATTACAGCGGTAAAATCGGTGCGGTTCCGACTTGGTCAGAGCCGCACTGATTTCTAAAGTAGTACATGCACTACTTTTCTTGCAATTTGCATAGACATCTGTGTCAGATGTCTTGAAAATCACACCTGAAATTGGCAGTCTCCCGACTTTGAAATCGTGTGACTTCAGTGTAAGTTGCACGATTTCAAAGTCGGGCTTGATGTGACCGTAGACTTAGTCTTTGACTTCTTGGTCTCTGCTGGAAATACGCAGTGAGCAGTTTCTCAGCACATAAACATTCATTGCCTAGTTGATATATAAAGCTATATAAAGCTTATATTCGCCGCATAAGCCAGATGGAAAAATTCTAAATCTATATGACCTAACACCTCAAAAAGTGCATGAAAGTCACTGTGTGTGTGTGTGTGTGTATATATATATATATATATATATATATATATATATACACACAAATGAAACTCGAAAAAAATTAGAATATCGTGCAAAAGTCAATTTATTTCAGTAATGCAACTTAAAAGGTGAAACTAATATATGAGATAGACTCATTACATGCACAGCAAGATAGTTTAAGTCGTGATTTGTCATAATTGTGATGATTATGGCTTACAGCTCATGAAAACCCCAAATCCACAATCCCAGAAAATTAGAATATTACATGCAATCAATAAAACAAGGATTGTACATAGAACAATATCTGACCTCTGAAAAGTATAAGCATGCATATGTACTCAGTACTTGGTTTGGGCCCCTTTTGCAGCAATTTCTGCCTCAATGCGGCGTGGCATGAAAGCTATCAGCCTGTGGCACTGCTGAGGTGTTATGGAAGACCAGGATGCTTCAATAGCGGCCTTCAGCTCTTCTGCATTGTTCGGTCTCATGTCTCTCATCTTTCTCTTGGCAATGCCCCATAGATTCTCTATGGGGTTCAGGTCAGGCGAGTTTGCTGGCCAATCAAGCACAGTAATCCCACGGTCATTGAACCAGGTTTTAGTGCTTTTGACAGTATGGGCAGGTGCCAAGTCCTGCTGGAAGATGGAGTCAGCATCCCCATAAAGCTCATCTTCGGAAGGAAGCATGAAGTGCTCCAAAATCTCCTGGTAGATGGCTGCGTTGTCCCTGGACTTAATGAAGCACAGTGGACCAACACCAGCAGATGACATGGCTCCCCAAATCAACACAGACTGTGGAAACTTCATACTGGACTTCAAGCATCTTGCAGTGTGTGCCTCTCCATTCTTCTCCATACTCTGGGTCCTTGGTTTCCAAATGAGATGCAAAAGTTGCTCTCATCAGAAAAGAGGACTTTGGACTACTGAGCAACAGACCAGGTCTGTTTTTCTTTAGCCCAGGTAAGAGGCTTCTGACGTTGTTTGTTGTTCAGGAGCGGCTTGACAAGGAATACAACATTTGAAGACCATGTTCAGGATCCATCTTTGTGTGGTGGCTCTTGATGCACTGACTCCAGCCTCAGTCCACTCCTTGTGAAGGTCCCCAACACTTTTGAATGGCCTTTTCCTGACAATCCTCTCCAGGCTGCGGTCATCCCTGCTGCTTGTGCACCTTTTTCTTCCACACTTTTCCCTTCCACATAACTTTCTATTAATGTGCTTTGATACAGCACTTTGGGAACATCCAACTTCTTTTGCAATTACCTTTTGAGGCTTTCCCTCCTTATGGAAGGTGTCAATGATGGTTTTCTGCACAACTGTCAAGTCAGCAGTCTTTCCCATGAATGTGATTCCTACTGAACCAGACTGAGAGACCATTTAAAGCAGGGGTCCTCAAACTTTTTAAACAGGGGGGCAGTTCACTGTCCCTCAGACCGTTGGAGGGCCGGACTATAGTTTAAAAAAAAAACTATGAACAAATGCGGACATAGTACAGGAGATGACCAGTGACTGCGGACATATAACAGCGGCGGGAATACTGGGCCGGCCGCTCCATGAGACGCACAGACATTTCACCCAAGTGTGTCTTTTGGAGTAAAATAGTGCCCCATCATTGGTGTCAGTGGAAGGAATAGTGCCCCATCATTGGTGCCAGTGGGAAGACTTGTGCCCCATCATTAGTGTCAGTGGGAAAAATAGTGCCCTATCATTGGTGCCAGTGGGAAGAAACGTGCCCCATCATTGGTGTCAGTGGGAAGAAACGTGCCCCATCATTGGTGTCAGTGGGAAGAAACGTGCCCCATCATTGGTGTCAGTGGGAGGAATAGTGCCCCATCATTGGTGTCAGTGGGAAGAATCGTGCCCCATCATTAGTGTCAGTGGGGAGAGGAATAGTGCCCCATTGTTGGTATCAGTGGGGGGGGAATAGTGCCCCGTCATTGGTGTCAGTGGGGGAAGGGGATAGTGTCGCAACATTGGTGTCAGTGGGAGGAATAGTGTCCCATCATTGGAGACAGTGGGAGGAATAGTGTCCCATCATTGGTGTCAGTGGGAAGAATAGTCCCTGATCTTTGGTGTCAGTGGGAGGAATAGTACTTCATTGGTGTCAGTGGGAGGAATAGTACCCCATCATTGATGTCAGTGGGGGGAAGGAATAGTGTTCCATCATTGGTGTCAGTGGGGGGAGGAATAGTGCCCCATCGTTGGTGTCAGTGGGGGGAGGAATAGTGCCCCATCATTGGTGTCAGTGGGAGGAATAATGCCCCATCATTAGTATCAGTGACACTATGGGGCACTATTCCTTCCACTGACACCAATGACACTTAACTTGCTGACCCCTGTTTCGGCATGGTGCTGCTGCAGCCAGCATACCTGGTTGCAGCAGCACCATCTGCACTGCACACTTACCTGTCAGCTGTCCTTCTTCACTCTGGCCTCTCCCTCACTTGATGTTCGCGGGGCCGCTCGGCTCCGCCTCCTCGCAGGCGATTGGCCGCCTGTGTGCCTTTCCTGAGCTACAGTTCTGGCGCCCAATTACCAGTGAGGAGGTGGAGCCGAGCGGCAGTGCGAACATCGAGTAAGGGAGTGGCCAGAGTAAATGAAGGAGCAGCGCTTCCTGGACTGGAACGTCGTGGGACTGGGACACGGAGCCAGGTAAGATACAGCAGCCCCCTGCCCGCCCCTGTACTTAGTGTCCCTTCCTCGTGGCAAATACGCCCCTGCCCGCGGGCCGGATAAATGTCCTTGGCGGCCGTAGTTTGTAGGACCCCTGATTTAAAGGCTCAGGAACCCTTTGCAGGTGTTATGGCTTAATTAGCTGATTAGAGTGGGACACTTTAAGCTTAGAATATTGCACCTTTTCACAATATTCTAATTTTCTGAGATTGTGGATTTGGGGTTTTCATGAGCTGTAAACCATAATCATCACAATTATGACAAGTCACGGCTTGAACTATCTTGCTTTGCATGTAATGAGTCTATCTCATATATTAGTTTCACCTTTTAAGTTGCATTACTGAATTAAATTGACTTTTGCACGATATTCAAATTTTCGAGTTTCACCTGTATATACCAAAAGTATTGAGACATCCCTCCAAATCATTGGATTCAGGTGTTCCAGTCACCTCCACGGCCACAGGTGTATAAAATCAAGCACCTAGGCATGCAGACTGCTTCTATATACATTTGTGAAAGAATGGGTCACTCTCAGGAGATCAGTGAATTCAAGCATTGCCACCTGTGCAATACGTCCATCTGTGAAATTTCCCTGCTGCTACTAAAATATTTCACGGTCAACTGCTAGTGGTATTGTAAAAAAGTGGAAGCAACTGAGAACAACAGCAACTCAGCCACAAAGTGGTAGGCCATGTAAAATGACAGTTGGGTCAGCGCATGCTGAAGAGCACAGTGCGCAGAAGTCACCAACTGTCTGCAGAGTTAATAGCTAAAGTCCTCTAAACTTCATGTGGTCTTCAGATTGGCACAACAGTGCATAGAGAGCTTCATATGGAATGCGTTTCCATGGCTGAGCAGCTTCATCCAAGCCTTACATCACCAAATGCAATGCAAAGCGTTGGATGCAGTGATGTAAACCATGCCGCCACTGGACTCTAGAACAGTGGAGACGTGTTCTCTGGAGTGATGAATCACGCTTCTCTGTCTGGCAATCCAATGGACATGTCTGGGTGTGGCGGTTGCCATGATAACTGTACTTGCCTGACTTCATTGTGCCATGTGTAAAGTTTGACGGAGGGGGATTATGGTGTGGAGTTGTTTTTCAGGGGCTGGGCTTGGCCTCTACGTTCCAGTGAAGAGAATTCTTAAGCCGTCAACATACCAAGACATTTTGAACAATTTCATACTCCCCATTTTGTGGGAACAGTTTGGCAATGGCCCCTTCCTGTTCCAAAATGATTGCACACCAGTGCACAAAGCAAGGTCCATAAAGACATGGATGAGCAAGTTTGGGGTTTAGGAACTTGACTGGCCTGCAAAGAGTCTTGACCTCAACCCAACAGGACACCTTTGGGATGAATTCGAGTGGAGACTGTGAGCCAGGCCTTCTTGTCCGACATCAGTGCCTGACCTCACAAATGTGCTTCTGGAAGAATGGTCAAACATTCCCATAGACCAGTGTTTCACAACTCCAGTCCTCATGGACCCCCAACAGGTCATGTTTTCAGGATTTCCCTCAGATGAAACAGCTGTGGTAATTACTAAGGCAGTGAAATCACCTGTGCAAAATAATGGAAATCCTGAAAACATGACCTGTTGGGGGTCCATGAGGACTGGAGTTGAGAAACACTGCCATAGACACACTCCTAAACCTTGTGGACAGCCTTCCCAGAAGAGTTGAAGTTGTTATAGCTGTAAAGGGTGGACCAACTCGATAATGAACCCTACGAACTAAGACTGGAGTGCCATTAAAATTCATGTGCGTGTAAAGGCAGGCGTCCAAATACTTTTGACAATATAGTGTGTGTGTGTGTGTATATATATATATATATATATATATATATATATATATATGTACACACACACACAGTATATTGAACATTTAATCATCTCTAACATGAGATTTTGAAGGCAAACAAACAACTAAAATATGATTAAAATATAATTTAATATATTTAATATCTTTGTTGCTTGTATTATAAAATATTTTATCATAAAAAAAAAACCCCCATTGTTTGAATTTCTTCAATAAGGGGAAACACTTATATATAGAGAAATGCACACAGGTATATATGGTCAAGAACGTCAGGAATACAGTGGTATTCCCAATTGCTCATGGTCAATGTTGTTTGGTAAAGTTTATTTATATAATTTTTCATCTACTGCCTTTGTCAATTTAGTCCTTACCAACTTTATTTACAACATCTGCAGATATCAACGAGTGTTTGACAATCCCTGATGCCTGCAAGGGTGAAATGAAGTGCATCAATCATTATGGTGGTTACCTATGCCTTCCTCGTTCTGCCTCTGTAATTAGTGACTCCCACCCTGATCCTGGACCTGCTGGAAACCCTCATGGTGGTGCTGGAACTGATCAAAGAAACAACCCTTGTCCAAATGGGTACCAGCCTGATTCACAAGGACTGGGTACCTGTGTAGGTAAGTGAGGTGTGACTCTGGAGATGGTTTATTTTATTATTAGGGATATTTTTAGGGATCTCAAACTTTCTTTTAAGTGACCGTAGAAGTGGATGTTCTGCTTCAGCTTAATATGACATCTGTGTTAATATAAATACTGCCAGTGCATACAGACATTTTTCAAACTTCAAAACCCAACTCCAGGCACAGCTATTTTTCATGAATTTTTAAAGCTCTGCTTAGATCCCCTAATACAGGGGTGTCAAATTCAATTTCTTCTTGGGCCGCATCAGCATTACGGTTGCCCTCAAAGGCCAGTTGTATCTCTAAGACTGGATGTCCAGAGCACCCCTACCCCCCCATTTACATTAGATGTAAAGAGCCCCCCACCCTCCCTTACATCACAGTGCAGCCCCCCCCTAACCTTGTGCTGCTGTTGGGATGAAGCTGGGGGTGTAGCTAGGAATCTAAAAGTGCAGGGTCTGGAGGAGGACAAAAGAGAAGGGATGGAGTCTGCTGAATGTTGAGACCAGGGGAGGTGGGGATGAGGCTGTAGCTGCACAGAGAGGTGCAGAATCTGTAGGAGGAGTTCTGTCCTCCTCTCTGCTGCCAACTTCTGAGACAAAGTGGATTGGAGATGAGGGGGGTGCCGCATCTGCAAGGGCCATCTGAAATGGCCTGGCGGTCCGGATTTGGCCCGTGAGCCTTGTGTTTGACACCTGTGCCCTAATATGTAGAGTGGGAATCTGTATCTCCAGATCCTCACTGCATTGGAACAATGTCTATAATCCTCACCAGTTCAGGTGTTCAGCATCCACAACTTCCCACTCTTCTGTGCCATTCACAAAGCTTAAATCTCAACTTAGCTCAGAGAGCTTCTGAAAGAGTAAAGGAAAAACATATGTTTGTGAATTAAAGATTACAAAAATCATAAAAAATCCTGTGCCTGGATGAACCTTCCATGATCAGCTCCCCCCAGCCACCCCTTAAACACTTACCTGGCTCCTCACTTGGTCCAGCTGTGTCTGTCTGCCATTGGCTCCTGTTATTGACAATTAAATCCTGTGAGGAGTGGGTTGGGGGGGGGGTGGAACCTGTTGCTGCCTCTGCGTTCTCTGTAATGAGGACGTGAGAGCAGTGCTGCTGCATATAGGCACAGTGCTGGATCGAGAGAGGAGCCAGGTAAGTCTTTAAGGGGAGGGTTTGAGGGGAGCTGTGTCTATGGATGCATACGGCTTAGCTCAGGAGTGCGCCCACACAGTTGCCCCTACAGCACACAGTTTGCAATGCGGGGAGAAGAGGAGGAGCAGATAGCTTTAGTGGGGGACCCCAGAGGAGGAGGTAGGAAATTGCTCTGTGCGCAGAGCAGGTATATATGACATGTTTATGATGATGCCTTTAAAGCAACTTTAAAGAGAACTCAGATTTACTATCAATGTAAGAGGGACAGAAGGTTCATAGCTGAACTGTCATAAGGTTGAGATACTTACCACCTGTTCTACAGCCTGAGTTAAGTTAAAATATATAAGATAGTTTATCTCTATTTCATTCAGATGTTGGACATTTGGTTGCATTTTATCAGAGGAAATCTAAAAAAATCTGTGAAATTAATTACAAGCTAGTAGATGTCAAATGTGTTTTATTTCTCAAATGTTTCATATTCCTTCTCTAATCACCCTAAATGAAGCATTAAAGAATAACAAAGGTTAAGTTCCACATTTTACATGTTACAACCCAACAACTAGTTTAGGCCACATGTATCAGAATTTGCCACCAACATGGTGTTGTACTTTTTCACAGATGTAGATGAGTGTGCCCATGAAATTGACGACTGCCTGCCGAGCCAGGAATGTGTAAACATACCCGGTGGCTTCCACTGTAAATGTCCAGATGGCTATAGGAAGATTGGAAACGAGTGTGTAGGTGAGTATAACCATGTACATCATATGGCTGGCTTTTCACAGCTTTTTCTACCTTTCCATAACTACTTCAAATATGATAAGCAGAGACATACCACACCCCGTAACCTGAAACACATTGCAGCCATTAGTGGTAACTATAGTGGTATACAGAAATTATGTTTATGTTTCTAGTCAAAGTGGTTCATTTATGACCTTCCATTCAGCCTCTGCATGTTATAGGCCCTTTACTATACTGTACTCGTAATGGATTCCAGTGACATAGTTTCCATTACTATTCATGTAGTAATCTGGACAGCAATAACTAACAGAGTACATCTTGTTGGTAAGCTTTTTGATTTTTGGCTAAAATGTTTTCTTAGTTTTAGAATATTTTGTGTACCTTCATTCATAGAAAATCTCCCTCTGGTGCAGTGTTAGCCTGTAAAAACATTGCTATATAAAAAATAATACTAAAATTAAGTGCTAAATATTGCAGCATACCATTCACAGTTTTATTATGGACATGACATACCTGAATCATGCCTTCCCATGGCCAGAGTTCCACTTACAAGAGTTTCTCTAGACATATGAACATATGTACAATTACTAGTTTTTCACAAGGGAAGACTATTTGGTGATTTGTAGCCCTAAGATCCCTCATTTCTTTAAAGCATAACTAAAAACACATTAGGGTCCATCAGGGCTCCAGTGGTACATCTGTCCTTTCCCTTGTCACTCCTCACTGCTGCTGTCATTTTTCTCCATTCTTTTCCTGGGTTTGGAATCTTCCACATGTCGGCATAGCATCCTGAAAGTGTACACTGATCTGCACATGCGTGGTTCAGTGTACAATCCAAAGAAAATATGGTGGGCAGAAAATTAGCTTTTTTGCAGATGAGGCAGAGTCTCTTTTTCAATAGGGACCTACTCACTTGCAATTTACACAAAAAACCCTTCATTCCTGCTTTACGATTGCTGAGGGTTGTTTGATATGTGAGCCCTTATCACAGATCTGCATTGCTGAGATGAACTGGTCATTAGGAGAGGATCCAATATACAGTATCTGTCCATTGCATCAACTTCTCAAAATTTGGCCAGAGATGATGTGATTTTCTTTCCTGCAACCACAGGGAGGAGGCATCCTTACCTGGAGATCACAGTGATGATTGCTAGCAGCTATAGCTGATGGCAAGAATCACACAAAAAAATCCGACCGTTTGGTTGTACCCAAGTCATACATCAATCGATTTGGGTAAAATTCGAACCATCTATGGCTGGCTTAACAACCAGGCTATTTCAGCACTGCTTATCCTTGATAAGGAATAAGACAACCCTAGGCTCTTCTGTGAAGGTTAAAGCCCACTTGAAGTCTAACACCTTTTTATATCTTCATTTTTTTAATCTTATTATAGTCCTGAATAGTATTAAAAACTTTTTTGTGATCTCTCAATAAAAATACTCCTCTAGCTCTAACAAAGCAGTACCCTATACTGGCAGTGCTGAGTAACAGCAACATCCCTCAACACAAGTGTCCTCACCTAGACTTTGTATTACAGAGAAGAGTCGAGTGTGTCAGGCCAGTTCTTTTACTGAGAGCAGCAGGATTTAGGCTGGGTACACACATTCATCCGTTAAGCAGGACGAAGCGCTGTCTGTTCAACAGAAGCCGATCATTAGATTAGCTTCTGTCGAATGGTCCTGCTAGAGAACCAGCATTTGATCAGTGTATTCTGATGGGAGCGGGAGTCCCTGCTGTGAGAATACAGTTCACAGCAGGGGAGATCCTTGCATCCACATCACTTGTGTGGATACAGGAATCTGCAAGTTTTTGTTTTTTTTTTCAGGCCACAGGTTGAATGAAAAAAACTCAGTGCATACCCAGCTTAACTCTGGTGCCCATTGGACTTCAGTCATATTTGGCATCCCTGCACAGTTACTCTAGCAGGAAAGTGGTGGTAAGGCTAGGAGAATGGAGGTTGTTCGTACACCTGTACAATTTCCATGGGACAGCAGATCTATCTCCACTACTGCAACTGAGCTTTAAGCTGAAGGGAGTAATTATTAAATAGCTTTATCCTATGAATAGGAAGAAACAGATGAAACTATTTATATATTCACTCATTTTGAGTTTTACTTTATTTGCTTCTAGTCACATAATCAATATTTCAGCTATTTCAGCTGTACCTAAAAGGATCAAATATCTTCCAACTAGATCCTCCAATTCAGTCTGGAGTTGTTTTTTTTATACAGTGTTCATTCATCTGCTTACCAAGTATGCTAAACTGAATACCCCAAGTGTGCATTGATTTACCTTTTTACGGAAATTAAAGTAGAACTCCAACCAAAGCCCTTTTTTCAGATTGGAGATAGAGCAATAAGGTTTAAAACTTACACTTTGGACACATTTTCCTTCCCCTCCTGTCCCAGAGACTAGTTATTTGTCTTACATGGGGGGAAAACCCCTCTATGACATATGTCACCAGAACAGTTGTCCCCATTTGGGAGGCTCCCCTTTAACTTCAGTGTTGGTGATGATTATGAAATGTTGGACATCCTATCCCTTTTTTGTTTTATTGGGAATGGCCACCAGAATAAATGCTGCTGGTGCATTCTCCTACGAGACACAGACAGCAATAAACGCCAGAGATTCCAACCCTTCCTTACTCTGTTCAATGCTAAAAAAAAGCTCACCGTTAATAATAATCATGTACAATCATTTCCAAACCGTTGCTCCAGTGTTGTGTTAGTGCATGTGTTACCCTTTTAATATCCAACACAGATTTTTTTATTAATACAGTAAATTTCTGTATATGTTTATAAAGTCTGACCAACCTGTTTTTATTAGTTACTAATTCAAATTCTGAACAGGCTTTTGAAATGGCTTCATAATGGAAATGTTGTTGAGCATTCACAAAGCACTTAAAGTGCTCAAATATGTACCTTCTATTGCTTTCAGCACCTCCAAATCTTCAAATTCTTTTGTTTTATTGCTGTGATCTGACTTTCTGTTAGAGGGTGGCTGCATTAGTTCTCCATAGTCTCTCTATATAAAAAAAAAGTAGCCACCCTCTCTTGCTCCTTTCTGAGATGGACACTACCAGAACAAGACCAAGTCAGCCTAGGTCGTGCTCAGCCATTCACAGCAAGCTTTGTATTCTGTGAATGAATACAGAGATTCCTCTGATTGGGTGAAGCGTGAGGCAGGAGGATGACATCACAATCTCTGATTCAGGCAGTTATACTTTCAATATTTCAAACAATGGGAACCAGTCATGCAAGAAATATGGGAGCTGATATTGCTGACCTTCTTCTGAAAAAAGCTTCTTGCCTGGTTGTGTTTAGTTTCAATGCTCTCTGATTCCTATACATGGCGTATGATGCATCAAGTAAAGTTAGAGTGAAGTTACAATTCTTGTTCTGTGCAACTGTTCCAGGTAGGTAACTTAGATAGTATTGAAGAATCAAACAACGTGACCAACATGACCATCAGCAGTTGGCTTCCTCCAAAGTTCTTCATGAGAGGTATCTTGTAATGAATAGTTAACAGGGCTAAAAGACTGTCTTTTCTGCTTGCCTGAAGTTTCTCTTTATGGCCCACAGCTAGATGTCAGTTAATTGTAGAAGCACACTCTACTGCTTACACTGTCTCTATGCCTCTAATACTTTTGTCTTCCTACCATTGCAGACATTGACGAGTGCAGATACAGATATTGTCAACATCGCTGTGTTAATTCTCCTGGATCGTTCACCTGTCAGTGCGAGCCAGGATTTCAGCTGGCATCTAATAATCGCTCATGTGTAGGTAAGAAATTCTAAACTCTTTATATGCTCTGGACAGGTATAAGGTCATGCAAATGATCATGTCTTTCCATGCATGCACCATCTCATTTTGAAAGCCAACATACATATTGTCTACAACCATGTTACAGTCAGTATACAGAAGCTGGAAGATGTAATCTTACAACCAGCATTTGACTAGTGAGGTCATGTATTCACCAATAAAACCTGTTTGTGCTATTGGAGGCAGAATACTTTCAATGGCCAGATGCCAGAGGGCTGTCAAAACTTAAAATAATTCTTGTTTTAAGAAACAGTTAGGTTAAGGGTTTGTATTTAAAATACAAGCTACAATTAGGAGTGCAAAATTATTTGTTTTTATTTTGGATAGAGTTTTATTGCTGTTCTAATTCTTCACCACCCTATTAGAAATGGTATTGTTGTTTGTGTCCCTGTTGGATACATTTCTATTCACTGCCTTTCTCGGTGATCTCTGTAACTAGGTTGGTGGTAATTGCAGCATTTGGTACGGTGGGACTCTGAGATTCTGTTTAGCGTCTCTTACCGTTTAACTTCATGGGTGACATGGGGGACAATCGCCTCTGCATGCCTTGGAGGGGTTGTTGGGTTTACATAGTTACATAGTTAGTGTAGCTGAAAAAAAGGACAAAAGTCCATCCAGTTCAGCCATAAAAAAAAAAAAAAAAAAAAGTTATAATACTATACCTACAGTTGATCCAGAGGAAGGCACAAAAAAAAACCCAGCAAAGCATGATCCAATTTGCTCCTGCTGGGAAAAAATTCCTTCCTGATCCCTGAGAGGCAATCGGATATTCCCTGGATCAACTTTACCTATAAATGTTAGTATCCAGTTAAATTCTGTGTATCTAAGAAAGAATCCAGGCCTTTTTTGAAGCAATCCACTGAGCTGGCCAGAACCAACTCTTGAGGGAGTCTATTCCACATGTTTACAGCTCTCACTGTGAAGAAACCTTCCCGTGTTTGGAGATTAAATTTCTTTTCCTCCAGGGGTGTTACTCATTTATTATTATGCCCACCTTTGTGCTGATGTACAAGGTATGGGATGCTGCTAAGAAGTCAATGGGATTTTTTTCCCCTAAATATACCCCTATATGGGACAATGCCAGGCTCCCTGAGTTATCCACCCTGCAGGGCTTTTACAGGTGGGAGAGGGAAGGAGTTCATACTCTTGTACAATTATATGAGATTGGTTCTCTTAAATCTTTTGAGCAGCTAACATTGGGATTTCTCTGAACCCTAAGTGGTTTTACCAACATCTGTAGCTGCGCCATGCCTTGCATGCTCAATTTTCTTCCTCTCCAGTCTGGTTTTCCCTGGTGCTAGTTTTGAACAGAGTTGTACACGTAACTTCCACCAAAGGACTCATTTCTGCTACCCATTTAGCCCTTTTAGAGAGCTCTTTTTATAAATACCCCTTGCCTTCCAGGGTAAAGTTAGACCAGGATAATGGGCCTATTCCTAAAAATGTCTGGGAGGAGATTGGAACACTTACCTCTAATGCTCAAAAAGCAGATAATTACATCACTTCCTGAATGCAGAGGAAAAATTCACTGACTGAAAGCAGAGGATTGTGGGATGTGTAGTCCGGTCACCTGGACTTATCATAGCCTTAATACTGTTTGAAACTACAATTTCCAGAGAGTTGAAAGGGATTCTGGGGAAGGAGATAAATTGGACTGTGCAGGCACGCTCTCTTAGGACCAGCGATTCAGGGCGACCAGAAAGAAGGTCATCACGTCAAGCATGGCGGTCAGAGCTTGGGGCCTCCCTTCCACAACACTGTATCGCTCACACCTGGTTTCTGTTGCTGTCACCATATCGCTGTTTGGGCTCACATTCCCTGCACACCTATGTGGAAATTGCGGAGTTCTTGAGCCTACAGTGCACCAGTCGGGTGCCTCCAAACTCACTGTGGACATTCAAGAGCCTGAGCGGGGACATCCTATTCACCGTCTGTGTATCTACCAGAGTGGTGAGCTTGCAAAAACCCATCCTATTTTTAACATTGCACCTAAGGACACTGCATGCAGACACTACTACACATAACCTGTTAGATGGTCTTTATCACAGACAACATAACACCTTTTACACTCAGCCTCATTGGTTTATTGCTGTACCGCATATATTTGGGCCCCATCAAAGCTAGCTGAAGATTAAAGGATACCCATATTTCATGGACCTCTTTTCCCTCAAAGGAAACTCTGCTCATAGAGCCAGTGGAAGAATATAACTTTCTTATTGTTGCTCTATTGTTTATTAAGGAGGAACTCTTACACTAGGTTTGCTATTATTCTTTACTCCATCTTGCTTGTGGTGTCAGGGACTAGAGGGAGTGGACTGATTAAAAATCTCCTCTTCCTCCTCATGTTTCTGGGGTCATAAATCCATTCCAGCCTGTTTGTCATAATCATTTGATTTATTACATTGCTAATCTTTTGTGTATTCTGTGATCCTGCTTTATTTCAATATCTTGCAATTCAGGTTACTACCTGCACCCCCTTTTTATTATCAAGTTGACTCAATCTTCACTAAAGTGTAGACTTATACATTTTAACAACTATTGGTGTTGTGTATTTTCTGTTTGATTGAAGAATCTCAGAACCCAGAGTGTCAGAAGTGTCGGGGAGTTCACACGGTCAGAGCAACCAATAGGACAAGCATTTTCCAGTGGCTCTCACGAGGGTAGTGCTACATACAATACACAATAATGGTTCTAAATTACACTATGAAACTGGCAGCTAGCTAGATAGACAGTTATCACGTTTTGTAAAGTAAGGGTTATAATAACTTTCAAATCTCTGTTTAAAGTATATCTAAGCTTTAATATGTTAATGTAATTTTAAACTTTTTTAAATCTGAAGCTTTCTTTAAAATAATCCCTAACTGGTGCCCCATTAGCAAAGCTCCACCCCCAACAAATTTGAAATTTTTTTACTTTTTTAGGTACATTTCCAAACACAGAAATGGTAAATGATTCTGGTGAATCATGTTTTGGGGCTGAATTGCATGAAACAGAGGCAAAGTGAATGTTTATTGGTTCTCTGCTCTCGACGTATACACAAAACGGATAGTGTTCCCATTCTGTAAAGCCATTAGATAGATAACAATATTCTGATAAAATCTTTGTCAGTGGCAGATAGGAGTGAGCTGGTCTCAAGTTATATAGCCATGAACAATGGATTGCATATGTCAATTTACTAAAAACCAGATTGTTCTTGTCATATGCCTAACCTTCCTATTAACAGTTTGCCAGATCCCTATCTATCTTAAAATTACACTAATTTCTACACTAAAGCTGGCCATAGATGGATCGAAATTCAGATGGTTCAGCAGGACAAATTCTAATCCATGGGCAGGCTGGTTGTACAGAAGTCGATTTCTTTACAGCCAGCCTGTCTGTTTTTTTTTTTTGCACAGTCAGTGCCACCAGCTATAGCCAGCAACACTGATCATAGCATTCTGATAGCGGGTAACTCTCCCCACTGTCAGAATACAACAGCTCCACTGGAGGGATTCGCACATCAACACAGGAGTGTGTTGATGGGGGAAGCTAATAATTTTTTTGCTCAACTTGCCGGTTGAACGAAAAAAAAAAAAAGCCATCATCTGTGCCCTGCCTTACTGTCACACTGGAGTTTGCAAAATACTCTCTAGCCCTAACCCTGTACCCTAGTTTAAGCCCAGTTATTTTCCCTGTCACCCTGGCTCTTTTTGGAAGATATCCATGGACAGCACAGTGGAGAATCAATACATGTCAAATAGCTTTTTAGGTTACCTTAATTTTATATGCTATAATAAATAATAGCATATATATATATATATATATATATATATATATATATATATATATATATATATATATATATATATATATACACATACACACACACACACACACACACACACACGAGGGGCATTCAAGTTAAATCAGGATATTTAATTTTACAGGTATAAAAAGGGATGCTACATACAGTGAGGAACAGAAGTATTTGAACGCCCTGCGATTTTGTAAGTTCTCCCACTTAGAAATCATGGAGGGGTCTGAAATTCACATTGTAGGTGCATTCCCACTCTGAGAGACATAGTTTATAAAAAAAAATTCAGGAAATCACATTGTATGATTTTTAAAGAATGTATTTGTCTTGCACTGCTGAACATAAGTATTTGAACACCTAAGAAACAGCAAGAATTCTGGCTCTCAAAGACCTGTTACTGTGCCTTTAAAAAGTCCACCTCTACTCCACTCATTAATCTAAATTAGTAGCACCTGTCTGAGCTCTTTAAAAACACCTGTTCACCCCACAGTCAGTCAGACGCCAACTAATACCATGGGCAAGACCAAAGAGCTGTCAAAAGACACCAGAGACAAAATTGTGGACCTCCACAAGGCTGGAAAGGGCTACGGGGCAATTGCCAAGCAGCTTGCTGAAAATAGATCAACTGTTGGAGCAATTGTTAGAAAATGGAAGAGGCTAAAGACGACTGTCAGTCTCCCTCGGACTGGGGCTCAATGCAAGATCTCACCTCGTGGGGTATCACTGATGATAAGAAAGGTGAGGAATCAGCCCAGAACTACAAGGGAGGAGCTGGGCAATGACATGAAGAGAGCTTGGACCACAGTTTCAAAGATCACTGTCGGTAGAACACTACGCCATCATGGTTTCAAATCATGCATTGCATGGAAGGTTCCCCTGCTCAAGTCATCACATGTCCAGGCCCGTCTGAAGTTTGCCAATGACCATCTGGATGATCCAGAGGAGGCATGGAAGAAAATCATGTGGTCAGATGAGACCAAAGTAGAACTTTTTGGTCTAAACTTCACTCGTCGTGTTTGGAGGAAAAAGAAGGATGAGTTGCATCCCAAGAACACCATCCCTACTGTGAAGCATGGGGGTGGTAACATCATGCTTTGGGGGTGCTTTTCTGTGAAGGAGACAGGACGACTGCACTGTATTAAGGAGAGGATGAATGGGGCCATTTATTGTGAGATTTTGAGCAACAATCTCCTTCCCTCAGTCAGAGCATTGAAGATGGGTCGTGGCTGGGTCTTCCAACATGACAACGACCCGAAGCACACAGCCAGGAAAACCAAGGAGTGGCTCCGTAAGAAGCATATCAAGGTTCTGGAGTGGCCTAGCCAGTCTCCAGACCTAAATCCAATGGAACATCTTTGGAGGGATCTGAAACTCCGTGTTGCTCAGTGACAGCCCCAAAACCTGACAGATGTAGAGGAGATCTTTGTGGAGGAGTGGGCCAAAATCCCTGTTGCAGTGTGTGCAAACCTGGTCAAGAACTACAGAAAACGTTTGACCTCTGTAATTGCAAACAAAGGCTTCTGTACCAAATATTAACACTGATTTTCTCAGGTGTTCAAATACTTATGTTCAGCAGTGCAAGACAAATAAATTCTATAAAAATCATACAATGTGATTTCCTGATTTTTTTTTTTTTTTTTTTTTTCTGTCTCTCAGAGTGGGAATGCACCTACAATGTGAATTTCAGACCCCTCCATGACTTGTTCAAATACTTCTGTTCCTCACTGTATATCCATCCAGGGCTGGTGCTCGACTATTTTGCACCCTAGGCAAGACCAGCTACTTGCATCCCCCCCCCCAAAAAAAATTTAAAAAACAGCCATCACTCACCAACACATTGCACATGTGATGGATGTCTGGTTGGCCAGGTCACATTCACACAGACACGAAACACTCACACAGACATGAGAGAGTCAGACATTACCTTCCTCTGCAGGTGCAGCTCTGCCTGTGCTGATGAATGGGAAGAGAAGGGCTGGAACTCCATAGTGATCAGCAGCAGCCAGCAGCTTGCAGTAAGGGACTGAGTCTAAGAAGAACACTGGAAGGAGCGGCAGCTCAGCTGCTACACTGTCTCCAGACAGCCGGCATCTTCCTCTGTCCTTCCTTCCTCCCCTATGCCGAAACTCCTCTCAGCTGCAGAATTATTCATGACATGGCAGTTTTCCACACAGAGAGAGTGCCAGTCTGGGGTGCGCCCAGGTGCCCCTAGGTGGCAGAGTGCCCTAGGCAACTGCCTAGTTTGTCTAGTGGAAGCACCTGCCCTGTATATATCCATAAAATACTTTCTTCAATTATAACAAATATATTTTTATATATTGCTTTCCTTTATTTGATGTAAAAACTGCATCTTTTCTTGTGATTTTCCTTTCTTTGGTCAGAGGACAGTTTTGTAACAAGAAATATCCCCATCTGATGGGAAATGCTTTAAACAATCATTTTGCCTAAAATCAGTTACATGAGATTTATTAGCTATTTGGAGGATGTGATATTTCCCAGACTTTGGTGCAAGTTATTATCTAATCGTCAACTTACAATGTGGTTAAATTATGGTTTTAAAAGTTTACTGAAAATAGGGTCTAGATTAGTCAGATTTCAGGAAGTAGTGAAATTATACACATAATATCAGTTCATAGAAGTGTTGGAAAAGACCAGCTGAAAAAGATTGCTCTGTAGAGTCGTCATTACAGGTCCCTGGAGAGTATTTCTGGCAGAGAAAGGGCTATGAAATCATGCATAAAATGGTGAGAATTCTGAGATGTCACAGTTAAGTGTGGCTTGGCAGCCCTCCATAAAAGCTTATGCTGAACCATTTATTGTGCAAGACACAATGAGACACATTACAAGAATTTTTTTCTTGCTTATTGCCTTATTTAAAAGAACGTGTTACACATAGCTTTCTTATCATTTACAGATGTCAATGAATGCTCAATGGGCGCACCATGCCAACAGCGCTGCTACAACACCTATGGCACCTTTCTCTGTCGCTGTAATCAAGGCTATGAACTGGATCAAGATGGTTATAGCTGCAATGGTAAGCAACCTTATTCTGTGATATGCCATTATAAACTGTTATTTTGAGTAGCATAGATAAGGAGAGTTGAGTTTTCAGCTGTTTCAGCACACAATCTGATTAGTCCATCCTTCCGATGAAAGCAGTTCACCTTATAGAGAAAGAAATGTGGTCATGTTGGTGCAAAAGTTTTAATTGGAAATATTTAATATCTGATGTATTTAAAGTACTGAAGTCTGTGCTCCCAGGGAGATTTACCCTCTTTATTTGTCCTGTTTACTATTATCATTGAAAGTAAAAGTAAAAAACCCCCCAACGTCTGGGAAAAGCTCCCCAATAGGACACGGAGGGTAAAAAATTAACTGACAGAAGTTATGTCCCTGACCCCTGGTTCACACTAGTGTGGGCCATGCAAAAAACATACTTCTCCTTTTACAGGAAGGTCAGGGTAACATAACCCAGCACAGAGTCTCCCCTTACATCAGAGTCAGCTGGGTTCCCCTTTACAGTGCAAGGAGGAACTCTGCTGACCATGACCTTGGTGAAAAAGAGAACAGCAAGCACATATGGGAAAAATAAAAATGTTAAATTTTAAGAGAGCTAATTTTCCAAGGCTGAGAGCTGCTCTACAAGACTTAGACTAGGAGGGAATATTGGCATCAATGAACACAACACAGAAATGGGAGTTCTTTAAAAAGACTGTATGTGAACACACTGCAAAATATATTCCCATGGGCAACAAGTTTAAAAGGCTCAAATTCAAACCTATGTGGCGTACAGCCAAAGTTAAAAAAGTTATAGATAATAAGAAAAGAGCTTTTATTAAATATAAAAATAAAGGACCGCTATCATCTATAAAACATTACAAAGAATATAACAGAATATGCTAAAAAGAAATAAAAGCCGCAAAAATTGAAAACTCTGATGTAGGCAGGAATGCTGCAGAATGATGTAAAGGGAAACTGAAGTAAGGGGGTTTCTGGTCACCAGACCTTACACAAAAGTCCACAGAGCTCCCCTTTACATCACAGTCCACAGAGTTTCCCTTTACATCACAGTCCCCAAAGTTCTCCCTTACATCAGTGTCACAGTCATGCATACAAGAGCCAGGCACAGGCTCTCACTGTAGTAAGAAGTCTTCAGGTACCCCTCATTCCCCCTCCCTCAGGAATGCGATCAGCGTGTGATGCTGAGCCCCTGCCTGACAATTCTTTGCCAAATAAGGATTGGCTTGTCTGTGGTAGGAAGATACCAGTTGATTTTGTGTAGAAAAAGAAGCTGTTATGCTTTGTGTGTAGTCAGAGAAGTGAGGACTTTTTGCGTGCAACATCTTGCAGAGAGAGAAAAGAAGATCTCCCTGCCTTAATATCGAAACTAACAGTGGGAGATCAAAGCATCCTTTTAGTCATGAGACTTGAAGCTGCTTAAAAATAAGGCTGACTGGCAAGTACTGTAACCCTTTAAACTCCTTTTTGTTATCTGTTTGCTGTGCTGTTATGCTCTGTATATTTATATATATATATATATATATATATATATATATATATATATATATATATTGGTTACATTGGTTTCTGTAAATATTTTTACTGCACTCTTTTGACCTTTTGGTAATAAATCTTACTTTCTAAAAGTGTTGAACTGTTTCTATAGCTCCTGAATGTAACTTACAAATCCCTGCCGCTGGAGAGCGCTACTATGAGTATTTAACCCTCTGTATAACCGGTCTGTAGAGATAGCGGTATACTGACGGTTAACCAATCATCCTAGTGTATTGCTGAGTTTCCTCTTTCTCTGTATAAAAAGGAGGTGGTGGCAGTGTGAAGGGTTAATTGCGTAATTAACCTGACCCAGTAACAATCGCATTCAGGCTGCCGGTACGTCGATCGTGGTCCAATTAGCTGGAAAATTGGTGTGCAGGGTGCAGCTGGGTGTGGCATTGTTACGCACGTGACGTCGCGGTTTTAGATTGGCTAGTTCTTCGGTCACGAGTTTGGTAAGAAGGGCTGGGGTCTGACGCCACACTCGTCACAAGGGGGTCTCTGGTTACAGCGCAAGGGGGAACTCTGTGGACCCTGATGTGAAGGGAAATGCTGCAGATCATGATGTAAAGGAAAATGCTGCGGACTTTGGTGTGAAGGGGAACTCTAATGTAAGGGGTCTCTGGTCCCTCTTACATCAGAGTCCGCAGCGTTCCCCTTTACATCAGGGTCCGCAGCATTCCCCCTTGCACTGTAAGGGGAAAACCTGCAGACTCTGATGTAAAGGAGAACTCTTTAGGACACTGATTTTAGGGGGAACTCTAATGTGGGGGGGGGGGGGAGGGGGACTCTGGTGACTAGAGGCAAAGACCACCTTATGCAGAGGGAATACATGAAGGTAAGGGGGGGGGGAAGTTAATGATATAAGGAGGAACTTTTATATCAATGTCCCCCTTACCTTAGTCCATTCACTGTCCTCTAACATCAGTGATCCCTCCCCCCACAGAGACTGTGTGGCAACTGACAAGGCTGAAATAACAATGTCACACTAACCTCCTCCATAAGAGTCCCATCCTCCAGGCAGCTTGCTCCTCCTCTGCTTTCAGTTATCACCATCTCTGTCTGCTCTGCACTGTGTCCTCTTCTCCAGCAGGCCCTGCTACAATTCATAAAAAGCACCATGTGACACAATAACATCACTGAATGTCTGCCCCGTCTGAGCACGGTCGGCTTCAGAACTGGGCCGGCCGCGATATTTATTTTACGAGATAACAGATATTTACAGACAGTTTGTAAATCAGCAGATATTTACAAACTGTCCATAAATTATGTATGGTTGGCAACCATGGTTTTAGATTGGTTTTGTTCCCTCAATCACTGCAAATTTTCATTACGTGAGCATGCATGAATTTTTACTAAAAGTGTTAGTTCACCTTTTCAGAAAAAATGAAAAAGTGAACTAACACCATGGCTGGGCACCTGCAACCCTCCAGCTTTTGCAGAATTACAAGGCCTATCATGTCCCTGCCTCTAGGAGTAACTGTCAGTCTTCCCATCATCTCTATGCCTCTGGGAGTCATGCTTGTAACTGTCAGTCTTACAATGCCTCATGGGACGTGTCATTTTACAACAGCTGGAGGGCAACAGTTGCCCATCAATGCCCTAAACCCTCCCCACCCCCACAGTACCTGCTGTGCTTACCACTGTGGGTGATGAGCTGTCAGTGCCCATGCGGCCACTGTAGCAATCTGGAGAATTGGAATACCCACTCTTCTTCTCCTTTCTATAGGGCTTCCAAGAAGGATCAGAGCAATTCCAATGAATTGAATGCCATGAAATTAATTGGTGGCACTGACCATTCAGAATTGCTCTGATCACTCCCGGAAACCCTACAAAGAGAAGGAGAAGAAGAACAGGGATTTCAGAACCGCCACAGCGGCTGCATGGGCACTGATAGCTTATCACCCACAGAGGTACAGTAAGTATAGTGGGAACTGGGGGTAGGGGAGTTAGGAGGATGTAGGATGTTGGTTCCCCTTTACATTTTTTCTGAAATGATGAACTCACACTTTAAAAATAGGGTTTAGTCTAAACTAAACTTTTTTTCTAGTTAGAAGAATCTGTGAGCTGTAACCACTCTGCCTTAGTTACTGAGAGCCAACAGACGCTGTGCTGCATCTGAGCCCACCCCCCTACTGACAGATATAGATACTTAAAAGGAGGACTGGCCACTGCTAGCTTCTAAATTTTAAATTTTTTTAATTCATGAGAATGACTAATAAAACAGTAGTGAGAGTTTTTATTATTCAGATGAAAGAATTGCTGTATTTTTGGAATTTCATTGGTGTTATATAATTACCAATTTACATGTAAATAGTGCTTAGCAGATTCTTTAACATTGGTATGCGTTTAAGTTACTGATAATATAAATTGTACATCCAAAGATATTGATGAATGCAGCTACTCCAGCTACATATGCCAGCATCAGTGTGTGAACGAGCCTGGACGGTTTTCCTGCATTTGCCCGGAGGGATACAATTTGCTGGGCACCCGCCTCTGCCAAGGTAAGATCACTAAACAATATAATTGAACTGAAAGACTAGAGCATATTGTCTGCATATTAAATTCTAGTCACATAATTTATATTTGGTCTTTGTCACATACTGTACATTGTACTTGATTATTTATAAAGGTAGTTGCACTGAAGCTATTTAAAACATTAACACTAATAATATGTGGCTGTAAATCTCTACATTTAACAAAATAATAAAAAAAAAGGTAAAACTGCGAGCAAGTAAAAGTGTGAAAGCCACATAAAAAAATGGTTGTTACAAAAACACTACAAGAATATTTCGAAATATACACTCAATAAAATACAGTATACTTACCCTTTCATTGCATATACAACATATATAAAATTACAACACAGCTTAGTAAAAATAGCAACAAAATTGTAGCCTTGGACAAGTCCTTTTGGTTGTGTGGTTGTGTGCTATGATATACTGTTTTGGTTCATCATGCACTGATAAAGTAAAGCATGTTTGTTTTAGCATTACCTAGTTTGTATTGCCAACAAATTATGTTCCTCCATTATTAATTCAAACTGTATATTGTATATACAGCATGTTAGTGAAAAGGTCTAATTTGGGAAATTGATTATTTTGTGTTTGAGCAATGCAAAAAAATAAGACACAGAGCTGTAAGCATGGAGAACAAACTATTGTCCAAGGTTTACCAGTGCAGATTGTGTTAATTACAACAGTGTTTGGACCGCTTTCTTATCGGTGGGTGCTGGCCAGTCTAAAATGGCCGAAACCTTTTGGGGATCCATGGCTATTCCCGTGGGAGAGATGGTTAGGCCCAGAAATGAAATACTACTCTGTTCAAAACAGCACTTGTCTGCCTTGGCATACAAGCTGTGTTGGCGGAGCCGTTCTAACACGCGCTTCACATGACCCCTATGGTCCTCCAAGGTTGGGGAAAAGATAAGGATATCGTCTAGGTATACAATGACGAAGATATCCAGATAGTCCCTGAACACATCGTTTATGAAATGCTGGAAGGTGGCTGGAGCGTTACATAGGCCGAAGGGCATAACCAAATATTCAAAGTGTCCAAATCTGGTACGGAATGCTGTCTTCCACTCGTCCCCCTCTCTGATACGGACTAAATTATAGGCACCTCTCAAGTCTAGTTTAGTGAAGACAGATGCTGACTTCAACCTCTGAAAAAGTTCGGGGACTAGTGGTAGCGGGTAACGGTTCTTCACCGTGACTTTATTCAAGTCCCGGTAATCTACGCAGGGCCGGAGGGACTTGTCCTTTTTTTCCACAAAGAAAATGCCCGCCCCAGCTGGCGACGTGGAGGGTCTAATAAACCCCTTATGGAGGTTTTCATCGATATATTCTCTCAGTACCCCTAACTCCCGCTCGGATAAGGGGAATATCCGCCCAAATGGAATCTCCGACCCTGGGAGGAGATCAATTGGGCAATCATAACCTCGGTGCGGGGGGAGAGTGTCCGCCCCCCGCTTGCTAAACACATCCAAAAAACTATGGTAGGCCGAAGGAATGACTTGCGTCAGTTCCACATCTGTCTCTAGACACAACAAGGTCCCCGGAATCAGGGAAGTCTTAAGGAGGCAATGCTGCTGGCAGTATGTGGAGAGGAACTGGTTAGAACCCGTCTTCCAGTCCACCTGGGGATTATGGGCTCGTAACCACGGGAGCCCCAAAATAATTGGAAATAATGGGGATGCTATGGCGTCTAACCGAAGGATTTCTTCATGATGGGACGATATAGTGGTACGGATAGGTGGGGTTTCATGGTCCACCACCCCTGACTTAATACGGGATCCATCTGCCAGAAAAATATTTAATCCCACCTCCTTAGCTTGTAGTGGGATTCGTTGCTGAACTGCAAAGTCCAAATCTATGAAGCAACTACACGCCCCAGAATCCACAATTGCTGTGGTCACCAGCTCCCCGGCAGCTGAAGTGACACAGGTACCGCTAGATAACTAGTGTTGCCCACACTGGTAGAATTGACCGTAGAAAAAACAGCGGAACACTTACCCCCCTTGGCTGGACAGGTACGTACCACATGGCCTGCTCCCCCACAGTATAGACAGAGATAGTTGGTAAGACGCCTCTGGCGTTCCTCAGGTGTAAGTGTCAGCCGTGTCCTTCCCGGTGGCCCGGTTTTGGGTGTATCCATAGCATCCTGATTCTGGCTTGCCGGCTGGAACTGGGTTGAAGCCTGAGGGGGTGTTTCAGTTGGTCCTCGTCCTTGGTTGCACTTTTCCTGCCTGCGCTCCCGCAACCGGCGGTCAATTCGAATAGTCAATGCTATTAGGGCCTCCAAAGTACTAGGTATGTCTATTCGGGCCAATTCGTCCTTCAGTGATTCAGCTAACCCAATGCAGAACTGGTGATGCAGAGCCGCCTCGTTCCATTGGCTGTCACTACGCCAACGCCTGAATTCGGCGGCATAGTCCTCCACTGTCCGGTGACCCTGCCTGAGTGTATATAGGGCCCTCTCGGCCGTTGCGGTGCGCAGCGGGTCGTCATACAAGAGGGCCATAGCCTCAAAAAATACTGTCATTGACCTCAACAGCGGGTCTCGATTCTCTAGGAGCCGGTGGGCCCAGTCTTGGGGTCCACCCTGTAGTAGGGCAATGATGAACCCTACCTTCACTGATTCAGAGGAAAAGGTCCGAGGCTGGAGGTCAAAGTATAGCTGACAGGAGCTACGAAAGGCCCTGAATCTACTTCGGTCTCCAGAAAAACGTTCTGGTGTGGGGACACCGGGTTCAGGCGCGGGTAACAACCCTGGTGTCTCCCTAGTGGGTTCCCCAGACCCCCCGGTAGATGTAGCTATGGTCTGCATGCGACTGTCCAATCTTGTATAACCCTCCTGTAGACCCCCTAATTCCTAGTGTAAGGGTCTCCATCTGTCGGCAGATGTCATCCAGAGGGGACGTTCCCCTTTCAGGCTCCATCATGGCCGCAAGGTACTGTCAGGCTCTGCCCAACGGGATCTCTAGTGGTCCACAGCACGGGGTTTCCCAGGACGCGGAGTCTAAGTCCCAGTCTGCCTTTTCACCAGGGCCCCTGATGGTGGGGATGGACTTGGTGCAAGACTGGAACTGGGCACCCCCGGCGGTGGTAGAGGGGTCCCGCTGCGAAGGGGACGACAGGTCCGATCCGAGCGGATGGATGGGATGGCAGATTCCGATCCGAGCGGGACGGACGGATGACAGATCCCGATCCGAGCGGGATGGATGGGTGACAGCTAGGAGTGAGCGAGGTCAGACTAGCCGGGTCGGTATCGTACGGGCAGCGTGGTACAGGGGGAGTAAGCGGAGAATGGTCGGGGTCACAAGCCAGGATCAGCAGGTAGCGGGCAGCACGGTACAGAGGGTCAGGCAGGAGGATGGTCAGGGATGAGCCGGGGTCAGAGCAGGAGAGGGTCAGCATAAGTCACAACAGGCAGAGTTTGGCAACTAGGAAGCGTACTTACAGGACAGGAACAAGACCTTGCGGCAACCTGGAGATGCACAGGGCAGCTTTAAATAGAGCACCCTGTTCTCCCATTGGTGCGGCCGCGATCGCTACTGCGCATGCGCGGCCGCCGCGATCGCCGGCCGGGACGGATCGGCCGTCTGCGCATGTGCGCACCGCCGAGGACCCGGGATCCCTGACAGCCAGTATTAGTGCCGCAATACCTTTTGGTGAACTGGCAAGCACCAGCAGTACATCCTGGTCTTTTACATACCAGCAGTGCACTATCACTTGGTGACATAGTGAGTCCCATAAGTGCAGTACAAGCTGGTGCAATGGCTAGCACAAGTAGTGCCTTGCAGCCACCGAGAATACAAATACAGGTCCATATAGCCCATAGAGTCCTTCTGGATGTGCTTGCAATTCCTGATTAGCAGCCCACAAATTCTGCAGCACCTGTACTTCCTCCATTCACTATCCAACCCAGAACTCAGGTGGAAACAGCAAATTTAACTACTCCCCTTGATTTTTTGGAGCTGTTTTTCACGGAAGATCTGTATGGACTGATTGTGGACCAAAGCAATTTATACGCACAACAGTTTATCACCCCCAACCCAAATTCAAACCTTGCCACACCATTTGCATGGAAATCTTTTACGGTTTTTGAGTTTAAAATTTTTTTGGCCTAACCCTGAAGATTACAAAAAATTAGTTGAGGTCATATTGGTCCACAGACCCGATTCATCTTATGCCCATGTTCTCTGCTGCTATGGCCAGGCACAGATATCAGAATATAATGTGATTTATGCATTTCAACAACAGTACACTGTTGTCCTCGTAGTGACCCTGAATATGATAGGCTCCACAAAATTTGGTCCCTCATAAATCACCTTAACCAGCAATTTGCAGATGTATATCCGTCCCATCAAACCATTTGCATTGATGAGTCCCTCATTAATTTTTCTGGCTGCCCTGCATTCAGTTTCTCCCCAGCAAGCGTGCCAGTTATGGGGACAAAATGTATAAGCTCTGTGAGAGGGCAGCAGGTTATACATGTAATTTTCAGATTTATGAAGGAAAAGATAGTCACGTGGAGCCCACCAGATGCCCAGACTACATGGGGAGCAGTGCAAGATAGTTTGGGACTTGGTGTCACCCTTTTTCCTTATGGGTTACCACTTGTATGTGGACAATTTTTATAAAGTGTGCCACTATTTAGACAATCTTGGAATTGGCTCATGTGGCACCATGTGACCTAACCGGTGGGGCTTCCCCCAACGGCTTGTAAATTCATGAATTAGAAATGGGCAGAAAGCTTGCTTGAGAAATAATGAATTGTGTGTAGTGAATTGAAAGGACAAATGGGATGTTTTCATCCTGTCTTCTATTCATGCAGACACGACAGTCCAAATTTGCACACAGCACTGGTGTTTTTGAGAAGCCCCTCTGTGTCCATGACTATAACGTTAACATGGGAGGGGTGGACTTCAATGACCAGATAATAAAGCTGTACTTTGTTTCCTATAAAGCCAGATGCTGGTACAAAAAAGTGTCTGTATATTTATTTCAATTGGCTTTGTACAATGCTTTTGTGCTTTACAAAGCAACTGGACGAAGTTGATCCTTCCTAAAATTTCAGGAAGACATCATCATGGCCCCTTTGTATCCAGCAGGTTTTGTGGCCCAAACCTCCAACCCAGACCAGTGAGCCGGCTGCATGAGAGACATTTTCCTGATGCCATTCCTGGTACCACAACCCAAAACTAACCCCAAAAAAGATGTGTCTGTAGCAGACATAGAAGTGACACCAGATTTTTTTGTCCCTCCTGTCTTGGCCAACCTGGTCTCTGCTTCCGTCGCTACCACACACTAGTGGAGTATTAGTATAGGGTACAGCATGGCACAGTCTAGGGTACACATTTACACAGGATTTCAATGGATGTTAGGTAGTCAGAAAATTGACTATCGCATTTTGAGAGACCCTAAAATCAGTCTGTCAGTAAAATCAGTAATAATAAAAGTGTAAAAAAGTAAAAAAACAAAAAAAAAACCCATGAAATAAAAAAGAATAAAAAATAAAGCCAAAAATCATTTACTGAGTTAATGTTCTGCTACTTTTACTGTGTTTTATTGTTAACCATTGTTGTTTCTTTGCAGGAACGCCATTCAGCTGCAGCACTGATCTGTTTATTTTGACAGCAAAAGAATGTGCTCTCAGAAATACGTCAGTGCGTGCAGCACTGCTGGATGGGATTTCTCATCCACAATTAAAAAAGAACACATATGCCCAAGCATGGGGGCCTGGGGTGGTCAGTGGACGGATTGCTCCTATGCTTCGGCATATATATTTTTCTTTTTTTGGCAGAGAGTTCTTCATCCAAACCGATCGATGTGACGGGAGAACTCTTTTTTCTTTTAATTCTTTTTCGGCTCAACAAAAAAAAAAAAAAGAACATTTCATGTATGACCAACATTAGGGGTGGGTGGATGCTGGGCAATATATTCTAAGAGCTGATTCACACATGTGAGGTGCGAATTGAATCTCTGGTTTCACAGCTAATTGACACAGTTGTTGTTCAGTGGTTCAAGTCAGGTTCACACATGTGCGGTTTAGAAATGGTTAGAAGTCCACAGCCTATAATCCGCACCTGAACCAGACTGCACTGTGCAGAAATGGGACAGCACTCTTTTTAAATTTGCATCGCCAGTGCACCAGACATATGTGAACAGGCACCATAGGAAGCAATGTTATTTCACATGTCATGTGGATGGGATGCGGTTCAAACCGCATCCAATCCGCATATATATGAACCAACACTAACACCACATACCACACACTTTTTCTGGCAAGGATTTCTTCTCTTTTTTTCATTCAGCCCAAAGGCTGCATAAAAAAAGAACATATATGCCCCCAACAAGGACCAGTGACTATCTGGTACATCACTGGACTTTGAGTCCAGGATACCAGGGAGCTTAGGGTCTACTTTTTGAAAAGGGGTCATTTTGGGGTTGTTTGCACTGCTCTGGCATTTTAGCACCTTACAAAATGTGATAGGCAGTCAGAAAGTTAAAGCTGCGTAAATTCCAATATCTATACCTTAGTTTGTAGACGCTATTACTTTCACACAAACCAATTAATTTACACTTACTGGAATTTTTTTTTCACAAAAGAAATGTAGCAGAATACATTTTGTCCTAAATTTATGACGAAATTTGAGTTTGATTATTTTTAGAAGAAGTAGGATATATCCTTTTTTTTTCAAAATGTTCGGTATTTTTCATTTATATTTCAAAAAATAAAAAAACCCAGTGGTGATCAAATACCACCACAAAAGAAAGCTCTATTTGTGTGAACAAAATTATATAAATTTCATATGGGTAAAGTGTTGCATGACGGCACAATTACCAGTTAAAGAAGTGCCATGCCGAATAGCAAAAAAATGCCCTGGTCAGGAAGGGGGTAAAATCTTCTGGAGGTCAAATGGTTAAAGCATATGTAATGGCTGAACCTTGTGTTTGTTTTGGAAATAGTCTTTTTCTTTTTACTTGTCTATGTCCCTTCAGGTTTTTTTTTTTTTTTTTTTTTTTTTTTTTTACTTTAGGACTGGCCAAAATTCCAGATAAAATGGATCTTGTGCCTTTAAAGTATCTCAGCATGAGCTATCCATTGTTTCAGTTATTTTAATGCCTTTAGCTACAGTGATTGCAGAAAATGTACCGGTTCTATTTTAAATGGTTTACCATCAAATATGTCATAAATGGTTTACCATCAAATACCATATAAAAAGTACACATGCCCCCTAATTTTGGTTAACAACTTCTACTTTGAGCATTGCTTCGTAAACATGCTGCAGAATTGTGGCTTTGATGACTTCTGTATGTCTTTTTCTTAGCCTTCCAGAGCAAGCCTTGTGTGGTTATGCTAGAGCAAGCACAGTCAATTCAATACAGAGTGTTCAGTTAATTAGCTGATAAGATACTGTGTATAAATACACTGTAGTGGATTATGAGGCACAGAAAAGTAAAAATTATTTTGGTTCCAGTCAAAAGTGCTGTACATAAAAAAATAAGTAGACTGTCTAATGCCCCTTTCAGACAGGGCAGACTCGGTTTTTATCAGCAGGGGATTTGTTCACTGATCACATGCTGAGCAGAGCAGAGTGGATAAATGAGAGGTCCGTGTCCACTCAGTTTATGCAGAGCTGACACAGATAGAGCACACTTTGTGGGTGGCCAGGAGTAAATGGACTCCACTTCCCATTTACACCTAACTGCCCTCCGATCTGATCTACCTAGATGGGAGGATAGATTCCCCTTCTGTTTTTTGTTAGCAGGCTGGATCAGATTGGAGGTAGGCGGATGTAAACAGACACAAGCTCTTTTACACCCGCTGGTCCATAGGGGTGAATGGAGGGTCCGATTAGGTCAGCCTGAAAAATTGACAGGTGGACCTGATCAGACCCTTCATGTGAAAAAGGCCTAAGTCCTTCCTCCAATCCAACCCACTAAAAAAAACTGAAGGGAATTTGCCCCTCTGTGTCTATGCAGATTGGATCAGTGGTCAGTCGAGTGTGAATGGACAGTGGAATCCATTTTCTCCCGGTCACCCATAGAGTACAGCAGGCTCTGTCCTTTTCCACTCTGCATAAACTGAGCAGACATTGACCTGTCATCCCCCGCTGATCCGAGAAGAGTGGTTGGATCAGCAGACAGAACACCCTCTAATATAAAAGGAGTCCATCCTATGTGAAAGGGGCCCAAGTCAGCCAAAAGCCAGGATTTGATGATTTATTGGTGAGTGGCAGACAACCCATAAGATTCCACCAACTGTACTTTTATGTAAGTTATTTTGCAGCTTTTAATAATATTTACTAGCAAACATATGTCTGCTTTTTAATGGGGTGAAGTTTGGAAGTTGCAATGGTATGAATAACTTCTGTCTACTAATATGCAAATACTGGTGATCAGCAATATATATAGCAGTATATAGCATAGACAGGGGTGTCAAACTGGCGGCCCTCTAGTTGTTGCGAAACTACAAGTCCCATCATGCCTCTGCCTTTTGGAGTCATGCTTGTAACAGCTGGAGGGCCGCCCGTTTGACACCTGTGGCATAGAGCATAGCCTTCAAGGTGGAGCTTTGTGAAGTATGTAACAAAGTACATTGTGTACAATGGAGTAGTCTGGAGTATCTCACATACTGTACAGCACATTGTACAGAGTGGATAACCTACTATGAGCCCCAAAACAAAAAGTACCCCCTGTCACAAACCTCAATGCTCTCAGCACACCGCACTATAAATCCCAGTACACATGACAGCTGAATCTTCCATCCCAGCTATCTCAAATGCATAACTGTTGGGTTTTGCATGGCCGGAACATTAAAACAAAACCCTTTTTTTATAGAGTAGGTCTAAAAGAGATATTATCAAATCTGCCATAAGAGCTGTCTAACTATAATTGTTTTTTTATCTCTGGTGACAGCCAACTTCCACTAGATGACATCCCAGTTTTTGATTTAAAATGTTCCCTAGCATGTGTAACCATGGTAATGCCAGTTCAATAATGTTCCATAATCTCTTGTTTTTAACCAGATATCAATGAATGCGAGACCGGAGCCCATACCTGCACTGAGCAACAGAGCTGCGTCAACTTCCATGGGGGTTACCGTTGTGTAGAAAAGAATCTCTGCATAGAACCATATATTCAAGTGTCTGACAAGTAAGTCTCTTGAGAAGAGTGTTCTTTTTCTTGCTGATTGCATACGTTCTCATAGAAACAGTATGTGAAGTCACATAGCTAAAAATAGTGAGACTTACAGAATAAAACTACAATCTTAAAAGTGAAATTCCCATTTTGCAAGCCTTTTTTGCTGATTTGTTGTGTAGGCCTGTCAAGTATACTATCTGAAATCTTTTTAAGCAAGTAAAAGTTCTGCCTTTGTTACAATCGCACGATCAGCAACAGGCTCATAATAATCATGGCTCCTTGTTATCCCTGTAGATATGCAAGTTTCTCACTAGAGATTAAACACCCACAATTCATAATGCAGTGAATTTAACCACTTACCCACCAGAGGCTTTACCCCCCTCCTGACCAGGCCATTTTTTGTGATACAGCGCTGCATTACTTTAACTGACAATTGCACTGTCATGCAATGCTGTACATAAATGAAATTTATGTAATTTTTTCCCTACAAATAGAGCTTTCTTTTTGTGGTATTTGCATTTTTTTTTTCGCGCTATAAACAAAAAAGACCAACAATTTTGAAAACAAAAAACAATATTTCTGACTTTTGCTATAAAACATATTCAGTAAAAAAAATGTTAAAAATAAAATTTCTTCATAAATTTATGCCAAAATGTATTCTGGTACATGTCTTTGTTAAAAACAAAATCCCAATACGTGTAAATTCATTGGTTTTTGTGAAAGTTATAGCGTCTACAAATGGTGGTATATATACTGGAATTTTTTATTTTATTTTACTAGTAATGGCGGTGATCAACGACTTCTTGCGGGACTGTGGGACTGCAGCGGACATTCTGAGACTGGGTGGGAACTAACTGCCACTGACATCCCCAGTGACATTAATACAGTGATCAGTGTTAATAAAAAGCACTGACACTGTACTGACACTGGGTATGAAGGGATTAACGTGGGGCAATCAAAGGGTTAGCAGTGTGCTGTGTTGTACATAGTGTGTTGTGTGTGCTTTACTATGTAAACATGTTGCTTTGTATTGCTCTGCTGTGCAGAGCAGTACAAAGCAGCATGGTCGTGTTGACAGAGATCTGTGTTGTTTGGACACAGACCTCTCCCCTGTCAGCTCTGCCGACGATCACCGAGCCCTGGCCGAATATCGGCGCCCGGGACCCAGTGATTGACATGCCGAGGAGCCAATAGTGGCGTGGATAGGGAACACGCGCGTCCTCTACCCAGAAATGCAAATCGCATATATATATAAAGCAGTATTACAACCAAAACCAAAAATGTAATATATTGCACCTTACCAATCATTAGATTTGTCAGGCTTTTTTTCTTTTGTCAGGCTTTTTTTCTCTGGTTTCATCTGGCCAGTAACATTCCTCCTGTATTAGAGTGCCTACCTTTGGAGAGTAGCATTATCAGTCTGGGGGGAGGAGACTGTTAGACGTATGAGGGGCATTAAAGTCAAACCAGGATTTTTGTGTTTATGTGATAAAAGAACAAATTTCAAGGAGTGGAAACTGCATTTATTTTTCAACATACTCCCCTGATACATTTATACACTTATCCCAGCGTTTAACTAATGCCTGGAAATCTTTGGCATTGAAAGATTTGTCAGTACGCCTGAACCATCCTAGGACAGCCATTTCACAACAGATTATGCGTTGATCATCCAGGATCAGGCGTTCCACATGCTGAATGTTCACAGGAATGACTGCTGTGGGCTGGGAACCACCACGGCCAGGATCATCACTGGCGGACATACCGGCCATCTTTGAAATGTTTACACCATTCAAATGCCTTACTGTGGCTGAGCGTCTCATCACCATACTGTGCTCAAAGGCTTCTGCAGATATCTGTGGGTTTTACACCTTTGTTCACAAGAAACTTCATCACCACACTATTCCATGCACTCATTAACACTGTTGTCTGCCATCTTGATTAACGGTTTCTGGACTGGCCCGCAACAAGTGAGCCACCTATCAGTAATAGGACACACTTGCCACTGCCATGCTAGCATCCCTTTTTATACCTGCAAAATTAAAAGTCCCGGTTTGACTTGATTACCCCTTGTACTAGAAGATTTCATGACACTAATATACTGAAGCCAAACTCCAGCTAATACTTTATAATCAGTTACAGCAAACTGTTTCCATTTTAGGATAAAGGTTTTACATTAATAAAAACTGATCATTTTAAGCATCACTGTCTGGGTTAAATGGTTTGTCTCATCCCTGTAACTTCAAAAGAGCTTGTTCTTTTGAAAAACACCAGACTTACTGGTTGGGTCACCAGATATAAGCAAAAGGAGGAAAGTGTGTTACTGGCCAGATATCCAGGTGAAAACAGCCTAAAAATGAAACTAATGCAGCCAACACATCTAAGAATTAATAAGATGCAATATAATAAATGTTTGCTTTTGGGTGCAGTACTGCTTTAAAGACATAGCTGAGTATACGTTATTCCCTGTAGGTGGCTGTTGGTAGTTTAGCTTCAATCGCTGAACACATTTCTTGGAAAGGGAATGAGTCAACATCACTCATAAGAACATAATTCTGGGAAATCCTGCTTACAAACTATATACTGTTTATATGATTACAGGTTGGGGACTATTGATTTTTTTTTTTGGCAGTTGTAGAAAATAACAGGTTGCAGAATAAAATGTAATTGTGATGAATAATAATAATAAAAAATTACAGAATAACTAAGTAAAACTCTTTATTATTTTGTATCATTAAGTAGATTGATGATGGGATGATAGATGGGCCAGTCCCACTGTCAGCTGATGTTGACATTGCACATCTAGTGTTGTTTGGTCAGTCCACTATGACAAATCTGCCCACTATCTTTTATATGTTCATTCTGATGCTTTACAGTCAGGTAAAATGTGACACTTAAATGACAGATATCCAGACAACACTATCACCATATGATAGGATGATTAGGAAGGTTAGTAATTTAAAACTAGTTCTTAGCTGCTCCATCACACTGCAAATACAAAAGTGGTGGTTCTCAGACATGCACATGTGAGAGAAAGGATACAGATTTGGCAGCTGGGTTGTAATATCTAAGATGTATTGGTGGTTTTAAACCTGTCATGAGACAAATATGGAGAAGGCCAGCAACAGCAGCCCTATACTTCTATCATGATAGATGTACATTTGTAGACTTTACAAGTGAAAAACATTACCAGATTTTCAATCCTACTTGCAGTATATCCAAGCAAACAGTGATTAGTGGAAAAGTTGTGTGTTCACATCAGCAAATTAGACCTAAAAAAAACATGTATTGAATCACAGCTGATAACTGGCTTGTGTATGGGCACGTTCAGATTGGCTTTAAATAATAAAACCCTATGTCATCCAAGAAAGAATCCAGGCGGTAGACCTTCTCGGGTCATACCGGGGGCGGAGCCTAACTATGGCGGCAGCGGAGAGCTCGTGGTAGGAGCTCCCGCTTGGAGCCCCTCCGACTGATCCCCTACTGAGACCCACGGAATTCCCCTGAAGCATGGAACCCTAGAACCCCGAGTCCTACCTCGGACAGGCGGGCTCATTCGGTGGAGCGGAGGAATGCTGGAGGAAGAGCCGGGGAACGGAGCTCTCTGAGAGAGGTGGAGACATTGAGTGCGGTTGCCGGGAAACAAGGAGGTGTGGCCGGGACATGTGACCGGCCGCAGTGCATCCCTGGGAGGCGAGGAAGCCGGCCGGCTGGAGGCAGAAGGGGAACGGAGAGATACCGTCCTGCAGGACGATTAGCCCCTATTGCAGCCCAGTGGGGGTGAACTGTGAAGAACTGCCTGCTCAAGAAGAAAGTAGAGGAAGCCCTGGAGGGTCCCCCTGAGAGCAAGAATGCCGACCTGTGGGAGAAATGGAGCTAGGAGCAGTCCCATGTGAGGAGCAGGGAGGGTGAGTGACTCCGGCTGTGACCTCAAATATAAAAACTGTGCAGATATGGGAGAAATCGTATTATGTTGAAGGAAGGCAAAAAGTGAGGAAAAGGGGGGCCCCCCAGAGAATATAAAGAAGAACGCAAGGTGCAGGCAATAACACACAGAAAAAGTAACAAAAGTGCCTGGGAGCTCTATCTCTATACCAGAATTTCTTTTTTCTGCGTAAAATTCTAGTTTACGAGAGAAAAATAAAAGAAATAGAAGAAATGAAAAATAAAAGTGCAAAGTTAAACGGGCCTAAAGGGACCCAAACGGGTACAATAAAAAAGTACACATCCCAGGGAAACGTGACCCCGGAAAGGCCCCAGAGCAGAAATGACAAAGGAGAATCAGACTTAAGCATGCAAAGTAGTCCTAAACAATTAATGGATTTGGATAACGGTAGTCAACAAATATCAGAGATAGAAAAAGATCTACAAATCCCAAATAAAAAAAGAGATGACAGAAATGTTTAAAGATCTGGCGAGAACAATAAAGCAAGAATTGGTAAATATTCGGAGTGATCTGGGGCAGCTGTTATTAAGAGTGGAGGAAACGGAGCAGAAAGTTAAAAATCAGACCCAGATTATCTCCGAATTGGAAAAGAAAATACTTAATATGGAAAAAGTTCAGGAAAAATTGCTGTATAAGGTGGAAATTCAAGAGAATAGAGAAAGAAGGAGAAATATAAGGATAAGAGGGGTACCGGGAAAGCCTAAAAGGAGAACTAATGGAGGAGGCGGTTTGTAAAATACTGAACTTTATAACGGGAAACTCTGATATGGAAAGGACTAACATAGAAGGGATCTTTAGAATTGGGAAACCCCAGGGGTACCAGGAGAAGGAAAGGCCGAGAGACATACTGGTCCAATTTTATGAACTGCGGCAAAGGGAAAGAATCTGGAGGAAAACCAAGGGAAAACCAGTAATAAAATATGGAGAAATGGACATCCAAATATTTGCGGACTTGTCACCAGAGACTCTCCGAAGGAGGAGAGCACTGAGGCCTTTGTTGGAGCAGATGAGGAAACAGAAGGTGCAATATAGATGGGGGTCACCGGAGTGCCTAATAGGATGGAAAAAACGGAATAACAGCCCAATTAAGGTTCCCAGAGGACTTAAGAAATTTTTGCAGTAGACTGGAAATGCAGAGAATTGAAATTAATGGATGGGAAGAAGAACCCGGGGGAAATAGATTAGTGAGAGGAGAGGGGTGGGCTGGAGGCTGGTGGGGGGGGGGGGGGGGAGGAGGGGCGCGGGTTGAGGGTGGAGGAGAGAGTGGTGGGTTTTTTTTTTTTTTTTTTTCTTTCTCTACCCTCTGGCCCCCACCCTATCGCCTATTACCCCCTCATACCCCTAGCTTGACTCCCTTTCATCTTCTTTTTGTCAAGAAGTATAAGTAGAAAGGGCTTCAATGGGGAGATCTGGAAGGAGGGGAGGCTGTCCATGAGAGGAGTGTAGCCCCAAGGACTATATCAAAAGTGGATGTTAGGTCCACAAATGATAGTTAGGCAAAGCGAAGGCCTAAAAAGAGGGGGGGGGGAGGGGGGGAGGGATGGCAACAATGCAGTGGGGGGGAAGGGGTGGAAGGGAGGGGGTGGAATGGGAAGGTGGGGAGGGGGGGGGTAAGGAGGGAGAAAAGGTTAGTGGGATAAAAACGCTCTATAGGAATAAGAAAGAGGAAAGTAAGGAGGGAAAAGGAGATGGGAGAAAAAGAGTAAGATGGAAGAAATTCAATATATAACCTACAATGTAAAAGGGTTAAGTTGTCCAGGAAAGAGATTTAAGTTATTTAAAGAACTACAACATAGAAAATCTTCAGTGGTATTTCTGCAAGAGTTGGAGAGGCTGTGGAGAGGTGGGCACGTGGTATCATGTGTGGTGGGAGTGTTCAGAAATACAGGTGTTTTGGCGGAGGATAGTTTATTTGATAGGGAAAATCACAAAGATCAATATAGGATTAGATCCAGAAGTATGTCTCCTCCATATCTCAGAGCTCTCAGTGAAAACATATAAGAGTTCTGGGGATATGGCATTATTTGACCGCAGCGAAGAGTCTGATACCCAGGTTCTGGAAGAAAAGAGAGGTGCCAACTGAGGAGGATTGGATGGCTAGAGTAAATCAGATCTCTGGGACAGAAAGATTGTATTACACGCACGAGGACAAGTTGGAGTTATATAATAAAAAATGGAAAGGCTGGGAAGAATACAGAGAAAAGGTGAAATATATATGAAGTAATAATATTCCTGGAAGCTGGCTTAGAACTGAGATCTAAAAACAACAGAATAATATGGAGTTAACGAGAGCAAAAAGAATGTTGAGCGTGGGAGGGGTTGGAGGAGATGGGGGGGTGGAGGGGGGGGGGGGGGGCAAGGAAAGAAAGTCATATACAGGGATAATTTATGTAAGAAGAGAAATCATTTGGGATAATTATTTTTTTATAAAAAAAAAAAAAAATAATAAAAGCCTATGTGATGGCCAAATTTTAAATGACCAACCGTGCTTCAGATTTTTTAATTCATTTTTGCTTCTGTGGTTTGCCTAATATCAAACTAGTGGGTAACGCAATTACTGGGCTGAATGCATTCCTAAGTGCACAAAATATAACTAGATATTAATATTTAGAGGTGATAACGACAGGGAAGTTGCTCCAGGGAATATCTGACGGCCTTTTGGGAGATCAGGAAGGAATTTTTTCCCCCATTGGGGCGAATTGGATCATGCTTTATTGGGTTTTGTTGCCTTCCTCTGGATCAACTGTAGGTACTGTATATTATTGTGTATATAGAGGTTTCTGTGTGTTTGTGTGTTTTTCTTTTAGGTTGAACTAGATCAGTGGTTCTCAAGCTGTGGAACCTTAGAACCCACATTTGTCCTTGGTCATTAAGTTGCGACCCAAAAATAATTTAATTTCCGAAACATAATTTTATCCCACAATACAACTTGTGCAGCATTCTACAATGTACATAATTTGACATAGAAAAACACTTTTTTTTAAATGTAATACTTTGTTTTTCACTGGCCATACACGTGTGGATTTTCGGCTGAGAATATTCGATGAATGGACGAATATCGTTTGAAAAATTTCCTTTGCTTTTAACTTTCGATTTTAAAATGAATGTAATTTCTGAATGATAACCACATACACTGGCCGAAAATTAATTTGATCAAGAAAAGTTTACTTCCTGCCCCTTCGAATTTTCCCATCACTGCTGTCGAAAACAAACATCGATTTGACCCCCACGCACGATTAGGAAATCAAACAAATATTCCTGAAATGAAAATTCTTGAACAATAATCTATACATGTATGGCCAGCTTTAGCTTACATAAAATAACAAAAATCCACCAATACCCCCCAACTTTAAGCAATGTACCTCACACTAATAGCCCATTAAGCTGAACAATGCCTCCTCTACCTCTCACTCTCTCAAAGGCACACTAAGTTAAGACTATTAATGTCTTCAGTAGCTTTTTAAATAAATAATATAGTTTGCGCAATATTTGTGTGAGGGTTTTCAAGTTCTCCCTTTTCTTGAACTTCTTCAGTCACCTCTTTCATGCCCTGCTTTAGCCCACCCTTTCATGCCCCTAACCCTTTCCCTTTTTATGCTCTTTCCTTACCCCCTTTCATACCCTCCTTTAATACCCACCTTGACCCCCTTTTCATGTCCTCCCAAACACCATTGCTTTCCTGCTTTCTTTCACTCCTTTCAAAATGCACACTTCATCACACAGCCACAACGCAGGAAAAGTACCTAGCGGTGTCACTCCCTGGCGTACAGTGGTGCTTTTCTTCCCTCCTGCATGGCTGGCTGGAAGTAAGTGTAGTAATATGCCTCTTTCTCCCAATGCTGCCACGGAGGAAGGAGGAATGAGCGTGAGGGCTGTGGGACCACTTTGTAAGTGTACTGTGCACACCAGCTTAATAGGACCGGCTGACCGCAATAATACAAATATTAAGGCCGGCCGTAGTTGCGGTCCCAGTCATCTTAACATTTATAGTATTGTGGCTGGCAGTTTTTATTAAGCTATGTTGTCAGGGCACCAGATGTTTTACTGGGGCATTAGAGAAGGCTGGGGGGCATTTGCCCCGCAGCCCAGTCCGCCCCTGGTCACGACCCACATTTGGGTCATGATCCATTACTTGAGAAACATGGAAATAAATGAACTAGTGTCTTTTTTTTTCAACTTTATTAACTTTATACCTGCCCTTAACTTGTAGTGAGAAAATTATAGAGAAATAAGAGTATATAAGAACACTAGATCCCTGATAGTTTTCTACTTCAATTCCTCAAGTTCCTAATCCAGACAAACATGCAGCCTGCAAAGTCAGAGTTAAATCAGAGCTCCTAATCTGAATATTTGTTAGAGGTCAGTAGTATCAAATCTATTGGTTTACCATGACAGTCAGCATTCTCATAAGAAATTGGCAAAGTCAGCCTACATATTTGTATCATAATACATTTAAAGCAGCTGTGCCATATAGAATATGAAATCTGTGTAATATTTTTGTGTATGTACTTTTTTGTACTGCATTGTCTCACTCTGTATTGTAAGAAGGCCAAGCAGAAAAAGGAAGAGCATACAGCCAGAGCATCCTTCTCCAACACCATATACTGGCCTCTTTGTCAGACTCCTAGATCTAAACTGTAAACCCTTCCATCTTTGTTCCTTTGTGCTTCTGTACCTTGATCTATTTGACTGCAGAGCTAGAAGGAAAAATCCCAGTGACAGGTGTTGAAAAGTTTGAAAGACAACAGCTTGATGGTATAAGACATTGCTTTATCAAACTCTGCTCTGTATTGCAGCCGATGTATGTGCTCAAGCAGTAACCCCCTGTGCCGTGATGAACCTGGTTCTGTGGTATATAGGTACATGAGCATCACGTCAGACCGCAGTGTGCCCTCAGATATATTCCAGATCCAAGCCACCAGTGTCTACCCTCGGGCTTACAACACCTTCCAGATACGATCAGGAAATGAGCAGGGAGATTTTTACATCAGGGTAAGTGACGTGACAAAATTGCTGTTCTGTATGAGATGTTTACTGTGTCACTTTTCTTTTTAAAGAAATAATTTAACAATTTCCCTTAATTACATAGAGTAACCTTGCTAATTTAAATGGTATGACATTATCTGGAGGTGCCTGCATTGTGGTGGCACAGGTGTACTTTTATTCCACCCCAGGTTCCCCTTAAAGTGGTTGTAAAGCTAGAAGGTTTTTTTCTAATTTAATGCAATCTATGCATTAAAGTAAAAAACCTTCTGCGGTCTGCTCTCCACCCAGCCCCCCTTATACTTACCTGAGCTTGATATCGATCCAGCAATGTGTACAAGAGCAGCAGCTCTCTCACTCCTTATTGACTGAACGGTGGGAGCCATTGGCTTCTGCTGCTGTAAATGACAGCGAATGAGCAGAAGCAAGGGCCCAGGGCTGAGCCACGTTCTGTGTGCCTATGGACACACAGAGAGGGGCTTGTAAGCGAGCAAGCATGAGTGCCACTATAGCAAGCGGTTTGGGGGGGATCCCGGAATGCCGGCGGTGGACCCTAGGATCAGGGCTATTCTGTGCAAAACCATTGCACAGAGCATGTAAGTATGATGTATGTTATTTTAAAAAAATAAAAATTGTAGGTTTACAATCACTTTAAGCCCCACCTGACATAGCAAAACAAATAGTACATAGAAATCCACAGTTCCTACCATACTTCCAGTTCCAGTTTACTTCATCCCCTTTAATATGGGTGCAATGGCAACAAAGAGACTGCCACATAATGCAAAAAAAAATCACACCACTATTTAGGAACCGCGCCAGACCCCTATAAATGTTTCAACAGGTGTAAAGGGTAAAACATAACAGCTATCTCCCACAAAACTCCTGGCTGATATTATTGTGACTTCTGTACTAAAGTTGGACAGTGCAAAATCAGGCTCACTTCTGCATAGAAGCCAATCAGCTTCCAGGTAGTATTGCTAAACATTAATTGAACAAGCTTGAGGTTAGAAGCGGATTGGTTTCTATGCAGAAGTGAGCGTGATTTTGCACTCTTCGGCTTTAGGGAATAAACCCCAAAGTGTCATGTCAGAAACAAATCTTCATATGAGCAAGGGTAAACACCAAATAACAATAGACTAAAGTAATATTCAGAAAACCAATACTGCTGCATCCCTGGATGGGAACTGAACCATTCCGGAATAGAAGGCATTTGGTTGCTAGGCAGCTAAACCATTTGTAATGGATGTGTATACTCGATCTTGCTATGTGCTTCTATTACAGATGCTGCACACGGTGGTGTTCAGGCAGACCCAGCCAATCAGTGGTTCGGCAAACCACAATCTCTTTTTCTGGAGTGAATATACAGTACATCTATATGTGATATATGACACACTGCTATGGACAGGTAGCAGCATTGGTTTATTCAGGACACCATTATTTTGCAGATTTAGTCAGCACATTTTAGTATATATCACTAGGGGTGTAAACATAGGATTTTTGTACTTACTGTTAAAATCATTTTCTCAGAGTCCATTGAGGGACACAGCTTGATGACAGTTTAAGCAACCTGGGTTATACTACCACCTACAGTTGAAATGGACACTAGCATATTTGAGGCTATATTTCCTCTCACCTGCTAAGTCCAAGAGAGGACAATAGCATATGAGGGGAGCGAGCTGTGTTCCTCAACAGACTGTGAGAAAAGGATTTTACAGGGAGTACCAACATTTTCTCTATCGTTCACGGAGGGTCACATCTTGATGATAATTATGCAATCCAGGGATGTCAAAAAAGTCCAAACAGAGGGATGGGCACACCTAAACAAACACAGGCAGAGTGACAATTATCTGATCTATGAAATCAATAAGCTGAGCATCAACACCAACAGCTGCATGGTTACTACTGAAGGATTTTGACCAAAGTTTGGGAGATGAGTGCCAAGACAAACATAAGATGAAGGGCATAACCTTTCAATAAATAAATGGTACAAGAATTTGCTTCCAAATTTATGTAGCAGGGTCCTTTAAAGATAGTGGAATCCTCTGTGGGAATAGTCAAAGCTTTATTAATGCGAAATAGAGGTACAGTGGGGCAAAAAAGTATTTAGTCAGCCACCAATTGTGCAAGTACTCCCACTTAAAAAGATGAGAGAGGCCTGTAATTGGCATCATAGGTCGACCTCAACTATGAGAGACAAAATGAGAAAAAAAAATCCAGACAATCACATTGGCTAATTTGGAAAGAATTTATTTGCAAATTATGGTGGAAAATAAGTATTTGGTCAATATCAAAAGTTCATCTCAATACTTTGTTATATATCCTTTGTTGGCAATGACAGAGCTCAAACGTTTTTCCTGTAAGTCTTCACAAGGTTGGCACACACTGTTTCTGGTATGTTGGCCCATTCCTCCATTAAGAGCTCCTCTAGAGCAGTGATGTTTTGGGGCTGTCGCTGGGCAACACGGACTTTCAACTCCCTCCAAAGGTTTTCTATGGAGTTGAGATCTGGAGACTGGCTAGGCCACTCCAGGACCTTGAAATGCTTCTTAGGAAGCCACTCCTTCATTGCCTGGGTGGTATGTTTGGGATCATTGTCATGTTGGAAGACCCAGCCTTGTTTCATCTTCAATGCCCTTGCTGATGGAAGGAGGTTTGCACTCAAAATCTCACGATACATGGCCCCATTCATTCTGTCCTGTACATGGATCAGTCATCCTGGTCCCTTTGCAGAGAAACAGCCCCAAAGCATGATGTTGCCACCCCCATGCTTCATAGTAGGTATGGAGTTCTTTGGATGCAACTCCGCATTCTCTCTCCTCCAAACAGGACGAGTTGTGTTTCTACCAAACAGTTCTATTTTGGTTTTGTCTGACCATATGACATTCTCCCAATCCTCTTCTGGATCATCCAAATGCTCTCTAGCAAACTTCAGACGGGCCCAGACATGTACTGGCTTAAGTAGAGGGACACATCTGGCACTGCAGGATCTGAGTCCCTGGCGGCGCAGTGTGTTACTGATGGTAGCCTTTGTTATGTTGGTCCCAGCTCTCTGCTGGTCATTCACTAGGTCCCCCTGTGTGGTCCTGGGACTTTTGCTCACCGTTCTTGTGATTATTTTGACCCCACGGGGTGAGATCTTGCGTGGAGCCCCAGATCGAGGGAGATTATCAGTGGTCTTGTATGTCTTCCATTTTCTAATTATTGTTCCCACAGTTGATTTGTTCCTAAGTTGCTTGCCTATTTCAGATTGTCTTCCCAGCCTGGTGCAGGTCTACAATTTTGTTTCTGGTGTCCTTCGACAGCTCTTTGGTCTTCACCATAGTGGAGTTTGGAGTGTGACTGTTTGAGATTGTGGACAGGTGTCTTTTATACTGATAACAAGTTCAAACAGGTGCCATTGATACAGGTAATGAGTGCAGGACAGAGGAGCCTCTTAAAGAAGAAGGTACAGGTCTGTGAGAGCCAGAAATCTTGCTTGTTTGTAGGTGACCAAATACTTATTTTCCACCATAATTTGCAAATAAATTCTTTCCAAATCAGCCAATGTGATTGTCGGGGGTTTTTTTTCTCATTTTGACTCTCATAGTTGAGGTCTATCTATGATGCCAATTACAGGCCTCTCTCATCTTTTTAAGTGGGAGAACTTGCACAATTGGTGGCTGACTAAATACTTTTTTGCCCCACTGTATATCAACTACAGAAGGAGTAAACCATATTTTGATCAAGTTGTTTGCAAAAGGATAGAGTGCCAAGAACTGCTTAGAGCAGCGGTTCTCAACCTGGGGGTCGCGACCCCTTTGGGGGTCGAACGACCATTTCCCAGGGGTCGCCTAAGACCATCGGTATACACATATTTCCGATGGTCTTAGGAACCGAGACACCGCTCCTGTCTCCGGCGATGTGTGGGCGGGATGATATGCTGCCCCTGTCACCGCCTCCTCGCCGCTGATTGGCCACCAGAACTGTAGCTCAGGAGAGGCACACAGGCGGCCAATCACCGGCGAGGAGGTGGAGCTTGGAGAGGAGGAGCCGAGCGGCAGCACGCGTAGATCAAAGAAGATCGAGGGAACTGCAGGAGCGAGTGAAGAGAGTCCAGAGAAGGAAGACAGCTGACAGGTAAGTGCAAATTTTGCTGCTGCAGCCAGGTATGCAGGCTGTAGATGGGAGAGGGAGAGAGCGAGCCCAGGCTGGAGCAGGGGTCTGCAAGGTAAGTATCATTGGTGTCAGTGGGAGACACTATTCCTCCCCCCCACTGACGCCAACGATGGGGCACTATTCCTCCCCCCCCACTGACGCCAACGATGGGGCACTATTCCTCCCCCCCCACTGACGCCAACGATGGGGCACTATTCCTCCCCCCCCCACTGACGCCCAACGATGGGGCACTATTCCCCTCCCCCCCCCCCCCCCCCCACTGACGCCAACGATGGGGCACTATTCCTCCCCCCCCACCCGCTGACGCCAACGATGGGGCACTATTCCTCCCCCCCCACTGACGCCAACGATGGGGCACTATTCCTCCCCCCCCCGCTGACGCCAACGATGGGGCACTATTCCTCCCCCCCCCCACTGACGCCAACGATGGGGCACTGGGGCACTTTCCTCCCCCCCCCGCTGACGCCAACGATGGGGCACTATTCCTCCCCCCCCACTGACGCCAACGATGGGGCACTATTCCTGACCCCCCACTACCTGACGCCAACGATGGGGCGCTATTCCTCCCCCCCCTGACGCCTGACGCCAATTCGATGGGGCACTATTCCTCCCCCCCACTGACGCCAACGATGGGGCACTATTCCTCCTCCCCCCACTGACGCCAACGATGGGGCGCTATTCCCCCCACTGACGCCAACGATGGGACGCTATTCATCCCACTGACATCAGTGATGGGGCGCTAGTCCTCCCACTGCAAAATTACAGTTATGAAGTAGCAACGAAAATAATTTTATGGTTGGGGGTCACCACAACATGAGGAACTGTATTAAGGGGTCGCGGCATTAGAAAGGTTGAGAACCACTGGCTTAGAGGCAAGGAATTGATAAATTAATTGAATAGAGGAAAATGAGGAAACACATTACTAGTGGAACGTCTGGGCCAATAAGAATTAAGTCCATGTGCAATCCTCTAATTTTAAAGTGGAATGCACAGCTTTGATTAGAAAGGAAACAGTTTTCTATTGTTTAGGTGAAACAGCTATTGACTGAAATTCGGCTCATGGGGTCTCAGCGTCTAACAACAAATAAAATCGCTGTTGGTTCCCTGACAGAATCAAATATTGGCTATCTCTGCATCAGATTCCACTGGAGAAGGAGACTGTTTTAAACCCTTGCGGCATACACTTTTTCATAACAGAACGGCTGAGAGGCAGGAAGAGGATTATGCACATAAGGATGAAATAGAGTCAGAAATTTAACTCCCTCAGAAATACAAACCAGCTGAGCTACATGAGTGTACATGGATAATGCAACCAATGTCCAGTAATTGGGGGAGCAATCACCACCTGGATGTATCTGCAGCAAAGCTATGCCCCTCAGACCAGTTTTTCACTGCTGACTGCAGGACAGTCACAGCGAGAACACCAGTATACATAATGAACTTAGAAAGTTCATTTTGTGGGCTAACTGGGGAGACTTCCAGGATTTCCACCATCTGACCTGATTCTACCAGTATCTGTTGATGGTAGAAAACAAATCTCCCAATTCAAGAAAAAAATATAGCAGAAAGAAGAGACAACCTCTTAAGAACACAAAGTGAAACCAGACAGGTGTGATGTTGGAGGGGTGCTGGCCTTTAGTTTTCTATGTGCCTAGTGTCCATGTCTCTTGTAGATGGCAGAATAATCCTAGGATGCGTAATTATAACCAAGCTGTGTTCCTCAATGGATGGTAGAGAAACAGGGTTGTTATGCTGGTTAGGGAGGTCTGCTTTAAGAACTCTGCTAAACATTATTTGCTTCTACATTGACCATGAAACAAAAGCTTAGTGTACTTTTAGAATAAGTGTTTTCTAAAGTAGACGTTGGCAGAGACATATCATTGATCCTGCATTATAACCCTAATGTGGTATTAAACCCCAAAGGAACCATCTATTATATTGCAACTTACCAATTCTTAGATGTGATGGGTGCATTAGTTTTCTTTTTAAGGCTTTCTCTCCTGCAGATATAGCAGTTACAGGGATGAGACAAACCATTAACACTGACAGCAGTGCTGCTTATAACATATTAGCTGGAATTTGAGTTCAACTTGTTAGTGTATTTAGCACTCCCCTTTCCCAAGACTGACAGTGCTGCTGTCCAAAGGTGCTCCTGTGCTCCTTCATGCAGAGTGCAGGCACTCCAATACAGAGGGTGTGTTACTGACTAGATCACCAGGGGAAACAGAGGGGGGAAAAAAAAGCCTAAAAATGAAAATGAATGCAGCCACCACATCTAATGATTGGTAAGCTGCAATATATTACATTTTTATGTTTTTGGGTTTAATACTGCTTTAAGGGCCCATTTACATTAGTGAGCTCTGTTTAATGCACTTGTATTAAAGCATGTTGCATCTGAAAGGGTTGCTGAATGCACCAAAATGCATAGAAAAGGGTGCCTGTGCCATTTTATCAATGCAGCACACTACAATTTGTGGTAGTGCATTACAGTGCAGACAATTTACTTGGCGTGTAATCTGAGCTTGACCTATTTAAACAGCAGGTGTTTTTCAGCAAAGCAATCCTGTGAAGTATAGCCTAGAGCAGGGGTCTCCACATTTTTTAAAGGGCCAGTTTACAGTCCTTCAGACTTTATGGGGGCTGGATTGTGGCTAGTGGGGTTAGAAAATGTCTCGTCCCAGCATCAATGAGCATAAACAAGGTCTCAGGGTTGGTGGTCAGTAGAAGGAAAAGTAGTGCCCCATCATTGGTGTTAGTGGGAGGAATAGTATCCCATTATTGGTATCAGTGGAAGAAATAGTGCCCCATAGTTGGTGTCAGTGGGAGGAATTGTGCCTCATAACATTGGGAAGAATAGTGCCCCAAGGGCCAAATAAAGGCTAGCAAAGGGCCACAGTTTGGAGACCCCTAGAGGTACACCTACTGGCAGAAAATATAAATATGAAATATTCTCATTCAATATTTTGTGTTTATGCAATTCAAATTAACATAAAAAAATGTTTTATGTGCTGAACATAAAAATGAAAAAAAAAAACACTCCCTTTAAAGCATAATAAACACAGTATTTTAATTTGGACGTTTGGCTCTCAGTGGTTTTATGGAAAATCTGCATTGAGACAAATATCTAGCCTGATATTGTCAACATCCTTCTGAAATGGCTAGTTGCTGGCAATATCAGCCTTATTGTTCTAGATCAGTGTCCCAGCAATCATTTAAGTTATTGGATCAGCATGACAACCATGCATCTGGGATTTTGAGAAGCGAATAATAGTAGGCTACATATGTCTCTCAGTACAGGTTTCCTTTAAAGGATTAATTTAACTTCACTTTTATATAATTATCCTTTAAGTTACCACTCTAGCCAACTCTCCCTACAACAGTCAGGAAAGTTTGCAGTGGTGGCTGTATGGCTCCCATTAGGCTGCATAGTGTAATTCTGGCAGAAGTGTGGACAGGCGAGTATAAAGCTGATCAAAAGAATGTTTCAACTCATCTATGGGCAGAATTAAAACTCTGTGGAAATTCTGAGTAGGTCAGGTAAAGAATAACTAAAGCAAAGTATAGGTATCCATTAAAACCATACAGTATACAGTGTCTTGAAAAAGTATTCATACCCCTTGACATTTTCCACATTTTGTCATGTTACAACCAAAAATGTATTTTATTGGGATTTTATGTGATAGACCAACACAAAGTGGCACATAATTGTGAAGTGGAAGGAAAATGCTAAACGGTTTTCAACATTTTTTTACAAATAAATATCTGAAAAGTGTGGCATGCATTTGTATTCAGCCCCCTTTACTCTCAATACCCTAACTAAAATCTAGTGGAACCAATTGCCTGCAGAAGTCACCTAATTAGTAAATGGAGTCCACATGTGTGTCATTTAATCTCAGTATAAATACAGCTGTTCTTTGAAGCCCTCAGAGGTTTGTCATAGAACATTAGTGAACAAACAGCATCATGAAGGCCAAGGAACACACCAGACAGTTCAGGTATAAGTTGTGGAGAAGTTTAAAGCAGGGTTAGGTTATAAAAAAAAATATCCCAAGCTTTGAACATCTCACGGAGCACTGTTCAATCCATCATCCAAAAATGGAAAGAGTATGGCATACCTGCAAACCTACCAAGACATGGCTGTCCACCTAAACTGACAGGTGGGACAAGAAGAGCATTAGTCAAAGAAGCAGCCAAGAGGCTAATGATAACTCTGGAGGAGGAGCTGCAGAGATCCACAGCTCAGGTGGGGGAGAATTTTGTCCACAGGACAACTATTAGTCGTGCACTCCACAAATCTGGCCTTTATGGAAGAGTGGCAAGAAGAAAGCCATTGCTGAAAGAAAGCCATAAGAAGTCCCTTTTGCAGTTTGCAAGAAGCCATGTAGGGGACACAGCAAACATGTGGAAGAAGGTGCTTTGGTCAGTTGAGAGCAAAATTTAACTTTTTTGCCTAAAAGCAAAATGCTATGTGTGGCGGAAAACTAACACTGCACATCACCCTGAACACACCCATCACCACCGTGAAACATGGTGGCGGCAGCATCGTGTTGTGTCCCTTCCCAGGGACAGGGAAGATGGTCAGAGTTGATGGAAACATGGATGGAGCCAAATACAGGGAAATCTTAAAAGAAAACATGTTAGAGTCTGCAAAAGACTTGAGACTGGGGTGGAGGTTCACCTTCCAGCAGGAAAACGATCCTAAACATACAGCCAGAGCTACAATGGAATGGTTTAGATCAAAGCATATTCATGGCCCAGTCAAAATCCAGACCTAAATCCAATTGAGAATCTGTGGCAAGACTTGAAAATTTCTGTTCACAGATGCTCTCCATCCAATCTATCGGGCAGCACAGTGGCTAAAAGATTAGCACTTCCACCTGGCAGTACTAGGGTCGTTGGTTCAAATCCCAACCACGGCATCACCTGCCTGGAGTTTGCATGCTCTCCCTGTGCCTGAGTGGGTTTCCTCCGGGTACTCTGGTTTCTTCCCACACTCTAAAGACATGCTGGTAGATTAATTGGCTCCTGTTTAAATTGGCCCTAGTATGTGTATGTATGAATGTAAGTTAGAGACCTTAGATTGTATGCCCCTTGAGGGTTGGGGACTGATGTGAATGTACAATATACTGTATTTGTAAAAGCGCTGCGTAAAGTACCTGTAAAATAAATAAATCTAACAGAGCTTGAGCTATTTTGCAAAGAAGAATGGGCACAAATGTCACTCTCTAGATGTACAAAGCTGGTATAGACATTCCCAAAAAGACTTGCAGTTGTAATTGCCGCGAAAGGTGGTTCTACATAGTATTGACTCAGAGGGGCTGAATACAAATGCACGCCACACTTTTCAGATATTTGTAAAAATTTTGAAAACCATTTATCATTTTCCTTCCACTTCACAATTATGTGCCACTTTGTGGCAGATACTACAGTAAACATGCATATTTCTGCTGTGAATTTAGCCATTTGCCTGCTTTATATTTAATAGTTTTCTGTGTACAGCTAAACATATGTTTCAGCTAAGCATAAGTTCCTGAGACACTAACTGCCCCTTCCCGTTAACTTAGATTCTTAGAAGAAAATGATTCTCACACTTCTCGTTTTTCTCCTCCAGCAAATAAACAATATTAGTGCGATGCTTGTACTGGCACGTCCTATTACCGGCCCCCAAGAGTATGTTCTGGATCTGGAAATGCTGACCACCAACTCCCTACTGAGCTATCGTTCCAGCTCTGTACTCAGACTCACTATATTCGTTGGGGCACATCCTTCTAGAACAAGTCACTGCATTATCTATTGGGCTATAAAACTTTTCTCTTGGTAAATATATTTGTTCACTGATATTTTATTTTTTTTTTTGTCAATTAAAACAGATTGTTTTGAAAAAGGATGTATTTCAGTGCAAAGCTATGGAAGATATTGGCACTGTAAAAGGTTGACCAAGTCCTTGTCAGTGAGGTCTTGGGTTTAACAGAATATCAAGAACCAGACTTAGAAGGTTCTGATTTCAGTGTAATGCAGAGTGATTATGTAACAGCACAGTATCAGCTATACAATTGGACTTAATATGGTTTCTGCTAACAGTAGTCTTCGGATTACATTGCAAATCAGGGACAGCCAGATTGTGCTGGATTTGTATCTGTTGAATAGGGGATGTCTTACAAAACTCTAAGGTGTTGCTCGACTTCCAGGTAGAATGCTGTAGGTACAACATACAGAGTGCTCATGAGCAACAATTAGCTTTGTTAAATATAATGGATATTTAAATGTGTTGTTCATGAACGAAGGTCAATGTTGTTTTGCCCTGTTTACCAGCAAAAACCCTGATGATTAAGATTACTTGATGTACAGTTGGTTGATCTATGTCCACATGCCACTATTTCCCAAACCAACCCTTGGAGACAAAGCACTGCAAGTTTGTACTTTAAAAATGGACACAGGTGCATTAATACACCCCTCTTTTCATCCACTCTAAATATTCTACCCAAAATTCTGAAAAGAGCACTGGAAGATGTCCAGAGGACTGGAGATGGGAAAAACTGTCATATGCAATGCACCAGACGCCAAAATATAATGACTCATGCATATAAGCATAAGCACTGATTTAAAAGTGATGTCATGATATGAGGGGAAGACTCAAATGGGGTGACATTTCTTGAGTACAGTTATCCCAGAGTCAATTTTTAGTGGCATTCACCAAATATATTAGGCAAAAAAGTTGTGACACATTTCAAGTTTTTGAACTTTGTTAGACATTACCATGAATGTTATAGGATGCCTCATATGTGATCGTCACTATTTTAGGTGTATTTTTCTTTAAATGTACGTTGACATATTTACAAAGGCTAAACTACAAAGACCATAATGTAATTGTGATATAAAATTTGTCCTGTTAGTCACATTCAAGGCAACTTCAGTTTTAATGTGGAAATTAAAAAGTAAAGTGAGGGTAAAGGTGCCCAATGCACATTCTGTCTACTGAGTGTGCAATACTAACTGTGTAAGATTATATCATTGTTCAGCCTCGGCTTCCCTATCCTTGTAAATTTCTCCTCTTTGTACAAGTTTTTTTCTGTATTACAAAATATTACTGTTCATCAATAAAGAGGAATACATGATGGATAAATTATCATTGTCTATTTGTTATCATCAGATCATTTATAAGGTAACAAAAGCCCTTCTAGTATGTTCTTGGACTATCTTTAGTTAGAAGATTGCTCCATATTCAAAGGAACAGCATCACTATGCCATAGTAAAGTGTTTTTTTTTTTTTTTTTTTTAAATTGCTTTCATTTTATTACAAAAAAAAAATGCTGAGACAGGATATTTATGATAGAAGAGACCATATATGTCTCTTCTGTCATAAATGATTCCTCCTGTCTGTCAGCCATCATGTACAAATACAATATCACTTTCAAAATAAAGTGTCCATAATCAAACCGAGACTTCAGACTCTTTCAGGTGATGTAACAAAAACGATTTGTATTCAGTCCACCAATAATGAGTTGTTATAATAACCAAATGTGCACCTTCACCGGCTGTGCTCTCACCTGGTAAATATGACCAAACAGGTAAGTGAGGTCATATAAGGCTTGTGTCCCTTTATATTGGACTTGGAACTGGATAGGAATGTCACTCTTCAAAGTTAGAGATCCCCTTACTTCCTTAGGACTCTTCCTCCATAGGTATATATGCCATAAAGAGTAATAAAAATATAGTGCTTTATATTCTTTTAAAACATTTATTAAACAATTGATAGTGCACTCACATATAACTATAGTTAAAATTGCTTTAAAACCAATCCAGAATGTGCATTTGAAATCACTGCTGTGTACCTGCTGTGTGTTGCCTGTCTCCTTAAGCGTCGTGACGGTAGAGCCCCTTCCCCTATGCGTTATGCCACCGGGTCATGTGGCTTCATCAGGGTGAAATTTTCTGTCTATTCTTATACTCTTCTCTGTCAGCCACACCTTCCGTTTCCTTGAATCTCTTATATGCTGGCATAAACAAGGTGTCCGGGCCAACACCAGCATAATCCGCATAAGCAAATGAATCGACGCTCTGTGAGGGCGTCGTATTGACGAAACGCATAGGGCGGGGCTTAATGGACGTGACGTCAGGACGCTCCCTGTGACTGTCGGCTGTTCGTCCACAGTGAGCGGGGCTCGACCATTCATTTGCTTATGTGGATTATGCTGGTGTCGGCCGGGACACCTTGTTTGTGAGTGCTATTCTGTTTTTAGTAAATGTAATGGTTTACCTTTATCTGAAGTGACCACTCCACCAGCCCAGTCTTTAGCAACACAAACCCTCACATTTGTTTCAACCTGCTGGGGACAGAAATGCTCCTCAACAATTACATCTCTGCCATTTTTCAGTTTAAATGCATGTCCAAAAAACTCCTAAATTCCATACTAAGAAGCTCAGCGCCCTTGTGTGTGGGATGCAGACCATCTCTTTTGTATAGTTCAATGTCAGACCACCTGATAGCATTATGACTAACAACCTAACTAACAAGGTAACTAACAAGGTAACTAACAAGGTGAATATTACTGCTCGGACCTTGAAGGGGACATACCCTGAAAGCTTGTCCTCAAAATTGTATGTTAATGCAAATAAAAAAAGTATCACGGACAGTACTCAATTGTTTCTGTGACTAACAATCAAAACCTTCATCTTTGCACCAATTCTTTAACCAAACATTGACCTGTGCTATACCAAGTACTTTCTCTTGTTGTCCATTATGCACAGGTAAGACCTTCGAAAATGTAACAGTACAACCTGTTGAAGGTCCAGTCCCAAATACTGAAAATCCTTCTATACAGATCACAGCTCAATCTGGGACAAATCATTTGTACCAAGGTGCACGACAACATCAACATTGCACTCTTCACTAGCTTTTTTGACAATTTTTAAAATACGACTTTTATCTCTCCTAACAGTAGCACCAGGTAAACATTTAACTTCCTTTGACACTTCCACATGATTTCCTAAAGAAACACCTATTACAATTGAATCACCAACAAGAAGATAACTTCTCCTTTTAGGAACCTTATCCACAACACTTGCCTGGAATGGAACCTCAGATAAAATGGTTACTTTTGGCAAAGCAATTTTTTTCTCAGGGTTCTCCTTCCAATGCTCACAATCAGCTATGTTTGCAACCTTTGTATCCGATTCTAGCTCAGAAAAAACACTACAGGAGTTATGCAGTGTCACACCAAAAGCTACATGTTTATGGTCCACGGGCCTCACTCTTCCTGACCTAACAATTGTCCACACTGCCCTTCTCCTGTGCAGTTTGAGGAAGAGGTGACTTTTTGGAAGGCAGCTCAACAGAACAAAATGGCTTAGACAGCCTCCTGATCTCAGACTGCAGGGCACTAACCAGTGAATTTAGACAAGCAATGTCCAGGTCCTGTCCACGGCAAAAGTTCTGGAAGATCTGACATTTCTGCCAGTACCTGCATGGCCGCAGAAGCAGACATCAGTCTCAGTTTGGTGCCAGACGGCCTTTATAAGGAGGCTCATCACTTTTTCAAGTTGCTGGATGATACTATCACGTACCTGGTGATGGAGGCCAATAGAGAGAGGGCTTCCCTTGTGGCTAAGTTCCAGACTCTCCTGAGAGTGGGACAGTGGGACTCAGGCCCAAAGTGGCACAGGTTGCCTGTAGGAGTGCTGGTTGGTGGTCCACTCAGAAGCACAGCTGATGTACGGAGACAGGTCTGCAGACAGGCGGTGCCTGTGCGAGGCCCTTCCGGGATTTAGAGATTTACTGGATAGCCGGTTAAAGCCAAGGTCAGGTACCGGGTGGGAATCAGAGCAGACGTAGTCAGATGGGATAGCCGAGGTCATACATAGAGGAGCGAGAGAGAGAGTATCCATAAGCCAAGCCGAGGTCAGATCAGGGGTTAAGCAGAGTAGACAGGTCCAAGAGCAAGCCAAGTCAGTATCAGGAAATCACAGGTCATAATAACAGAGGAAACAGGAACAAGGCACGGGGAGCTAGAGATCATCCAACCAGTATTTCCGAGGCCGATAGAGGCGCTTCCGCACTAGAGGCTCTGTGCCAACAAATGACGGCACTTACTCAAGCAGTGAAAGATCTACGGCAAGGATACTTCCAGTTGGAAGGGCGTCTGTATTTTTCTCTACAACCCAGAACCTTTTCACTGGAAGCGGTCAAGGTCAGGTTTATAATCTCCCTCTTGTCTGAAGAACCTCAGTCTTGGGCACAGTCTACTGGAACAGAACCCAGCACTCAACTCAGTGAGTGAATTTTTTGAAGCAATGGCTGCCCTTTATGATGATCCCCAGAGGACCTTCACTGCTGAGTCCACCCTCCATGCTCTAGTACAAGGTCAGCAGCCTGTGGAGGAAGAGTTCCGCAAATGGTCAGTGGATACTGGTTGGAACGATGCAGCATTAAAGTACCGGTTCCACCTAGGCCTGTCCGAATCACTCAAGGATGAGTTAGACAGGGTGGGAGCTCCCTCCTCCTTGGAGAACCTTATCCTGCTCTCTACCCAGTTGAATCGGCGTCTACGGGAAAGACATGCTGAGCGTACTCAGACCTTTCGACCTTTGGTTCTGCCAAAGATTCCAGGACCAACAGCTCCTGCCCCTACTCCGCAACCCATCAGCACTTTTGAGGTAGAACCAATGCAAACTGGCCTTCTCCGACCTGTCCTAACTCCGGAAGAAAGGCTACCCAGACAGCAAGGCAATCTATGTCTCTACTGTAGGGCCACGGGCCATTTCTTGCGTAACTGTCAGTACGACCAAGTAATTCCAGCCAGCCCCATCCTTCATACCTTCAGT